TAAAGTATCGTCTTTAGATGGTTTTGTCCAATCCTTTTGATAAAAGTGATACCCTCTCACCCCCATGACAAATGATGTCTCTGGTATGTCAATTGTCACTGTAGTAGTACACATTGTTATACCTTTATACAACAGCGAGGTGGGAGTGTGTGTGTAGAAGAGAGCGTGGAACTGGACCGAAATAGAAAGCTGAGTGACCTCTTGACTTGAAGTTACGATTTGATTAACTTTTTAAACTACCTCTTGTGGTCTTGTGGGATGTGGGTGCAAGTGAGCAATGCGCGTGAAATTTATCATACACACGGTAACTGATCGCATTCTTACATCTGAGCAAATCTATGAGCCGGCCGTGACAACTGCAGCCTGGCGCTCCTGCAGTCCTGACTCCTGCGAGTGACGTCACTTCACTCTGCCTCCTGCCAGTGCAGCAGTGCCGACCCACTTTCGCACAGTTTCAGTGTTTCATGATTACATTCGAGTGATGAATTGTGCCATTTGCTTGCATTTGCTTAAGTACTCAATTTGCTTAAGTACTCATTTGCTTAAGTACTCAATTTAGCTTAATTTATGCTTAATTAGGTACTATAATATCTGCCTTTCGTCTTTGAGCATTTACTCGATGCAAAACATACATTGTTTTAGGAATTTCCGCACAAGCTTATACCGATTGTCAATTATAGAGTGTAGACTTGTAGAGTTGTAGGTCATGCACAATCGAAATATTGCAAATTGTGTGGTCATGGCTGCTCATAATAAGTACATAGGTATTAAGTAGGGGGGGGGGGCTACAACAAGCGGTGTTAGCTGGTACCGCTTAACTTGGCACTTTTTTTTTCGTTAGCGATCCGCTAAACCGCTAGAAAATACCGCTAAACTGCTTAAAATAATGTTTTGTTTGGGAGATTTTTTGTTAGTGGTCCGCTAAACCGCTAAAATTGACCACTACACCGCTTGTTGCAGTCCCTCCAGTATTTTGGTGCCCTTTTCTGTTCGATATATTGCTTCGCATCATTAATTACAATTGTCCTTCTGCTGTCTAAATTATGGTGAAATATATAATAGTGGCTCCCTATCTCCCTGTTGTGTAATGTGTATCTACTTTCTGGACTATTACATGCGCTGTATAAGCTTTATAGTTTGTGATTGTGCCAATGGTCGTAGTTATAACAAGTTTGGGGAGTTACACGGATATCATAATTAGTCACACGGATATCATTAGGTAGAGTACCAACTGATAAATGATACCTAAGTCATCAAGACAAATTCACAATAAGAGAATAAGACTTGTGATTCCTTAATGCTCATCAACTGTGAACTTTTCGCCACTAGTTTTACTTTTAACATTTCACTTGAACAGGTATGTCGGTCAGGAATCTCTTAGGTTACTACATGCGGGATAAGGATGTGGGTGCCGAATCACTAACCGTCGCAAATATCCCAGTTCACAGTTTGCCAACTCCTAGCACGTCGGGCTTGAGTCAGAGCCAGCTGGATAGCGTAGCTGATTGTCTTAGCATTTCCAAAGCCAAAACCAAAAAACGTGCAACATACACACCGAAGGAGAAGGCGACCATCGCCCGCTATGCTACTTCTAACAGGATCGTGGATACAGTTACTCATTTCAAGCCCCAATTTGCTCATCTTACCGAAAATTCAGTGAGGAGGTGGAAACGAGAGTACAGCAAAATCTCGGGAGCAGATGGATCAGCTCCTGAAGCATTGCTTGTGGGGAAACGCGGGAGGCCTACATCGTTGCCGGCTGAATTGGATGCTGATTTGAGAAGACTCTTGGTAACCATGAGAGAGGCTGGAGGTGTGGTCAATTCGACAACAATACGTGGATGTCTCATGGGATTGGTGAACGCTAACCTAACAAAGTACGGCACTTTCTTGAAGTTCGAGGTAACACACTCCTGGCTGACATCATTGTACACCCGGATGAAGTTCTCTCAGAGAAAAGCTACGACGTCTAGGCCACCTGTTAGCAGCGGAGCATATGAAGAAACCAAGTTACGGTATCATTTCGCTCTTCAGAAGGTTGTTGACGAGTACGACATTCCCGAGGAGCTGATTATCACCCTGGACCAAACTCCAACAAAGTTTTTTAACCTGAGCAACTCCACCATGAGTAAGAGGGGAGAAAGCCGTACTGCTGTGGCTCACTGTGGCGACAAGAGAACAATCACAGCTACTCTCGCGGTCACACTGTCAGGAGACATCTTACCCTACCAACTAATTTACAAAGGAACAACTAAAAGGTGCTTACCTTCTGCAGATCTACTTCCCGCAGGTTTCCTTCTCTCTTACAACAAAACGCACTGGTCGAACACTGAAGAAACTTTGAATATCCTAAATAATGTTATCAAGCCTTACGTTGATCAGAAGAAGAAATCCCTCGGAAAACCTGACAGTCAGAAAGTGGTAGTTATTTGGGACGATTTTAGTGCTCATAATGCACCACGAGTTTTGAGTCTGCTTTCAATGCTTGGAATCTGTACCGTCGACATACCGAAAAATTTGACTCATCTCTTGTCACCACTAGATCTCACAGTGAATAAAAAGCTAAAAGATTTTGAGCGGGAGGCATGTGCATCCTACGTAAGTCGTAGTCTAGCAGATCACATCCAGCATAATCCTGAAGTAGGAGATTTCAAGTTGGATATCCGCTTGTCAGTGCTGAAACCTCTCCATGCCAAAACTTTGACAGCTTCCTACGAGTTCTTCAAAACTGTGGAAGGAAAGAAGTTGATCGCTTCTGGATGGCGTGCGTCTGGTCTCACTGAAGCGGTGAGGAGGTGCAAGGAGGACGGTATTGACTCAAGAATGCTGATTGATCCATTTGCAGCGCTCAGGATCTAACTTCATGTTTTTTATCTCGGCTTCTCGGACTATATTCTATTGAGATTTAAACTGCAGTACATGTGTTATTAATGTCAGTTCAAATTCGAATGTTCGTACAATTTTACATTTCATTTTTAAGCTTTAAATCGAGTTTTAATTTTAAAAAGAAATAATTTTTAATTTTAATGATGATATGTAGTATACATACATAAAAATTCCTTGCCGCGTACAGAATGTGCACTATCATTTTGTCAAATGCAATGAATATACCAATTGACTTGCAGTTTGCTGATGTAGTGGATGTCTACCTAATTTAAAATTATAAACTTAGACGACAGAACAGCAATCACTATAAATATAATGTGCATGCACCATTTAGTTTTTATGTGACCAATGTCCAATATATCGTATTTTTAAACAGATTTCTATGCTTTATAGACTGATAAAAGAATAAAATTGACACTATTTCGACCAAAACTATAACCAAATTTGCGATCAAAAATCGTATTTTTTCCGAAAAAAATATCGCCTTAATTTCTTGCCGCCTTAATTTCTAGCGCCTTATATTCTTGCCGCCTATATTTCTTGCACTAAGGTAAGTAATTCTCATTATAGCCGTGAAGGATGATGAAATTATAATCTAATTTGTGCGACTGGGGCCGGTGGGGAGAGTGTGTCGTGTGTGTGCAGTGTACAGTGTCATGTAACCTTGTTTCTTTTGCACTCCTCTGCAGAGCCATATACGAGGAAGTTGTTGTTTAACGTGTTGTTCAACGTGTTGTTTTGTTGTTCAGCGTGTTGTTTTGCTGTTTTTGTAGTTTACTTTTCTGGTTTTTATGTCGTGGTTCGGTATTGGCAGAACACAAGCAAGGTAATTCGTATCACGTGATGTAATATAACAGTTTCTGTTTTGGTTCATGTCAAGTGATAGAATTAATTATGTACTGAATGATCAACTTTGAAAAGTTGATAAAAATAAAGATATTGTGACTTCTTCTATTTTATTCTAAATCAAACGGTGGAAATTCACTATAAAAATTACCATGAACTGAATCTCCAGTGTTTAACACGTTCCTCAAAGCTTTCTCAGTTATTCACAGACTTTAAAATGCTCAAAATGTTACGTCCTTAACTCCAATGGACAATTCCATGGAACATTCCCCAACTAAAACTGTATATCATTCTGGAACAAACCATACTCAAACTGTCAACTAAAACTTTACATCATTCCGGAACTAATTCAACACTTCACCAAATTCATCAAGTTTTGCTTATCCGGCTGGTAACACTTACTAAATAGTTGGCACTCTGCCAACTATTTAACTTCCTTCACACAACCTCTGTTTACTTAATAACAACATTATATTGTACACACACCTGTCTGTAGACTTTACCTTGTAACCTTGTCTTTGTCCTTTTGTTGTGTTTAGTTTTCACAGTGCTTCCCTTACTAATGCATTGAACTGTAATCAACTGTAATCAACTGTAATCAACTGTAATCAACTGTAATCAACTGTAATTAAATGTAATCAAATGTAATCAACTGTAATTACCAACTGTGATGAACCACTTTTATCAGTACTTGTGTAACCTAAATCTTCAATCGTTTGATGACAAATCAGTTTTAAAGGTTATATAGTATATACATAATATAGTGATGACAAGCAACGTGTCTTACATAGAGCGTAACACAGTAAAACCCCGATTTACCGCTGAGTTTGGGGAAATGCTACAGCCGCGGTAAATCGGGGCCTGGTAAATCGGGGCCTGGTAAATCGGGGCCTGGTAAATTGGTGTTTTACTGTATCACGTTATTATATCTGTTTTAATTTAGGCTTTTTTAGGCTAACATACCAGGCTACTAATATGTTCTATTAAATTTTTCGCGTAATTTAAAAGTAGTTTAATATTTTTGCTCGTGTTAAAAAATATTCCAACTGTCTTTTAAAGTGTTTCTAACAATGTGATTCCGTTCAAGCTGACTGTAAGTTAACTTAATTAACGTTAATTGACGTTAATTGAGCTGTGTACACTGCAGCACACCTCTCTTATTAACAAAAATTAAGCTATACACTCGTAACATTATGTTATATACGACGCTCTTACACGGTTAACAATGTTAGCTATTTTTAAGGCTTCTTAAAATAGTCTGCATACTTTGTTTCTCTCTCATGTTTTTTGTCGATTTCGCTGAATTCTTTGATTTCGTTACGAGCGATCTTTACTTTTCCTCTTGGCACCATGACATTCTTTCCGTTTTCCTCGTATTTTAGTAAGAATAACGTGATGCAGTCCACCATATCTAGCTTCCTGAACTCATTCTCTGACGCTAAAACTGAGTATGAACTACATTCTTTATACAAATTCCATACATTTTGCATGCTGAGCGGGATAATTACTAACCTTTTAAAACTCTATGTTGAGTTAAAAGTACACATATAATATATAATATAATATATAATATAATATATTATATATCATAATATATAATATATCTACATACTTCGGGATCAGATGCATCACAGCTTGTCTGTAATGATTTGTTACTTTACCCAATACAGTAAAACCCCGATTTACCGCGGAGTTTTGGGAAAAGAGATAGTCGCGGTAAGTCGGGGTTTTCATTGTCCAATGTCCACATTAGCACAATTTCGGGGATAGAAAATGGTCAGTAAAAGAGTAAACCGAGGCACAGTAAATCGGAGTGTTTACTGTACTTTTAGTTGAATCGCATGTTACAATACTTTTGATATTTCTAATACTTTTATAGATGTCACGTGTCAAAACAAGGCCTGCTTACTGTTTGAGAACTATGACGTGTCAAAACAAGGCCTGATGGATTGGATATTGTTGGGAAAGAAAAATTAGTGTAATAGTCTGTAAATTTTGTAAAGAGATGCAAAGTATCTGCTTAGATATATATTTAATCTGCCATCTAATCTGCTTAGGTTTCAAGACCCAAAATCAAACAATAATTATTAAATTTATGCTGATGAAAACAGTCGATCGATAGTTTAAAAGAATTTAATTTGCAAATTTATTCGGCCAGGTAGCGTAGTTGGTTAATCATCGGATTTGTAATCGTGAGATTGCGAGTTCGAAACCCACTGCCTGCCTAGTCGTGGGTGAGTGTCGTCGACATTCAGCTAAAGATCCTGAGTGGTCTATGCAGCCCCCCGGTCTACTCAGCCGAATATTCGAGAAATCGTGTGTGAGGGTTAAATGAGGAGCTGTCCATTGCAGCGAAGTCTCGGGCGAAGAAAGTATGGTACACACTACCTTAACCGTCACTGGCCTAATTAAATCCTTCGGCTTCCTGTAATTGGCTAGTTACACTTGTGTAACAATGTGGCTGTTGGAATACTCCGAAGTAAAATAAGTGTGAGATAAATATAGTGTTGATACTCTGTACTTAAAACGCTCGTATAAAATAATGTTGATAGTGTTGTAGTATTATAAATATGATATTGAAATGTTGAAATATTGAAATATCGATTTTGTACTTTGTTGAAATTTTGAAATGTTAATTTTGTTAACATTTTGAAACGTTTTCAGGCAGTTAGAGGCTGACACCAAGTGCAGAACCTTCAACAGGGAGGATAGTGAGGGTAGCTTGAGGAATGAGGAGGCAGAGGCTGAGGAACTAGCAGTGTCATGGCTGGAAATCATGAAGAGGTAACTTGGGTGGGTGGGTCATGGGTGGGCGAGTGGGTGCACAGCAAAGTGAGGGACCAGATTACAGATAACAGTGACCACATAACAGTGATCACATAACAGTGACCACATAACAGTGACCACATAACAGTGACCACATAACAGTGACCACATAACAGTGACCACATAACAGTGACCACATAACAGTGACCACATAACAGTGACCACATAACAGTGACCACTGTACTTTTATAAGGATGCTATTTTAAGGGTGGAGACTTATATACTTTGTAGTTCTGAAGATTTTGTATAATTGAAACTGGACAATATCTGAAAGACTACCCCTATTCGGCTTCTTGAATTGTATAACTTTTTTACATGTTAAATCCATACATTTTAAAAGTTCATCGAACATTTAAAACTAAATTAACTTCTGCCGTAACTCTCTACAAAGTCGATCAAACAATTAAAACTACAGTGTTAATAAAACAAGCTGACAATATTTAGAATTATAATCATATTCATTTTTATTTAAAAACATCACAAAACGTTGGTTACCTTAATCCCTTAATTTCGTTTAAGGAAAAAAGCTAAGAAAATAATTACTAGTTAACAGTAAATTCATTAATAAAGAACTTGAAATAATAAATAATTTGTTCATATTCCAAGTTTTACAGATAATGTCCTGGTAACATTGATAGTATTCCATCACTGTATCTCGACATACACCGTATCTCGACACCCATATTTATACGAGTGCACTGAACTGTACAATTATTTGCAAGTTTTCTCGTCGTCAAAGAACTTGAAGTGAGATATAAACCGTTCCGTCACTGTTGCACCTTCAAAATCTCCTGCGGATTATAAGTTCATAAACGTTTCCATTGTATGATGTATCGGGAGGGATACAAATTATCAAATATAAGTTTGAATATCAATATTTCAGTGTCAATGAATCAAATTATTTAATGAAGTAAAACTAAAATATACATCGAACAGTTTTCAGCTTACCAAGAACGTCCCAGGCCTGTTTCATTTCTTTAACCAACTCCACGGAGACCGTCTTGTTGAAGAACTTCTCTCCTCGTAGCAGGTCCCAGCGGCTGAATGTTGTTCCGTTCCCCTGCTCACATTCACAGTCCTCTGTACTGTTGGTTTCTACCACTTCATCTTTCTCTTTTGGTTCAGGGGTGCAGCCAACGTCGATCTCAGTGACATCTCCTGATTTCTCCTCAAGAAGCATGTCTTCCCATTTCAGATACCTACTTCGTCCATATTTCTCTTCTACTCCTGAACAGAGACCTCCGTCCGCCATTTCTTTCACTTTAGCTGCACTCAGTTCTTTGTCAAACATGTTCACCTTGAACAGTTCCCCACCAAAAGCATTGGCATTATTAAATCCTCCCCCATATGTATCAAATTCATTGCCCAGTACAACATACCCGTCTAGACCAAGCTTTCTACCAGAGGGAGTTGTGCTTGATCCTATAAGTAACCCATCATAGTACACACTAGCTGCTCTAGTAGTGAGACTCCACGTAAGGCAGACATGTATCCATGTTCCTAGCTGGTCAGTTACTTTACTACTCATATGTACATAGGTGCTCAACGTGAGGAAATATCTGATATCTGCTGAGATGATCTCATTGACATCACTAGATGTTCCGTAAGCAAACCAGCACCTCCAATTTGAATCACTAGACTGTATCTTCTTTACCCACCCGCACACCGAGTAAGATTCCTGGACTGGTTCCATTCTTGGCTTAAATAGAACGTAGTCCTGGTTTGTTGCTCCGAACTTTAATCCCCTGTAGCGTCTTTCTACCAGTCTTTGTCCAGGCTCGTCGACAGATGAATCTGCAGCGAGGAGTAGTCCGAGTATAGCGAGAAGAGTTGAAAAGCACAACATGGTTAACAACTGTTCGATCGAATGTGAGATCTCCTCCCGAATACTTGGATTTATAAATACAATATCACCTGATTGTTGTGTGACGATAGGTACCGATTTTTGACTTTCGAGCTGACGATAATCCAGTTTGCAGAGCTGTGGTCTACTCAGTGTTATGTTTGGTTATACCAAGCATTATTATTACCTTATATAGACATAAACAGTAAGCTGTTCATATCCAGACAGCTGCTTCTCGTGACTCAACAGCATTTCGAAATATCGTATTTTATTATTTATTATATCTGACTGCTCGCGACTAACATAATTTCAAACCGACAAACTGTTTGCCGATCTTCCTTGGACGGAACGGTGCAGACCTCCTAAGTCCTAATAACAAGCAGAATTAAAAAGTCGAAACAGCCTCCCATTTTGGTTTGACTTACCGATTAACAATACAAATAAAATCCTCTCCATTTAAAGTCAGACACCCCAACCACGATCTACTCTGTCAAAGTGTACACAAGACATCGTGGGAAAGAGTGATCTTGTAACGGGATTACGGCTTGTTACCATGGTTACCTGGTTACCATGAGTACGGCTTGTGTGCCAGCATGTGCGCTAAGGGGGGGGGGGGGGGGGGGGGGGCGGGGCGGTGGTTGTTCAGGTGCAGTAACACAAGGAAGTTGTGTACGACACTGTACGTGCTTATGTACAGTGTACACCAGTGTTAAATATTTAGCACATTAAACTAACGGAGTAAGGAAATAGTTTGTTTATATTTGTCAGTTTCCTCAACAGCGTGTGTCCCGGGCCGTGGTTAATATTATGAACTTTCCAATAGTAAATAATACTTTGTAATATATAAACTGCACAAATTTCTCAAACTACCGATTTTCCCTTAAACTCAGTATTCAATTTTAATGTAATGCTTGATCATCTATTGAGTAAAGTATTAGTGTATTATATATCAAGTTTATTATTGTCTAATGTCCTATGAGAGCTGAACTTAATTTAGTTATCATCATCATCTTTATATATCATCATTATATCATGTTATATATATATATGTTAATGATAATTAAATCTATTCTGTTTTGTCCATAATTTAAATAATTAAATGAAATGTTCGCCTTTAACTACCTCCTGTTAAACAGGAGACATGTTTACATGCGTTTAATTTTCCAACTCTTTCGATGAAATTTAGACAAGTAGTGCAGTGCTATGTATCTGAACACTAAACAGCTTGGATACATACCTAAACAAATTATTACATTTTTAAAACTACATCGTATAGCAGAAGACCTATCTTTCAGTTTGTCCCCAGACAGAGATTCGTACAAAAACACTGGTTACCCGTAAGATAACGGCTTTGCAAAGCTTTTAAATCAGCACAGAGGCATCATTTGGTTGTGCAAAACATTTCGCGGACCCACATCTTTTCTGATTTTTATTGTGAAGTCATATCAATTCAGAAAATTCATAGAATATTATGCGATATTATGCGGTATATTATGCGATTCCACACCCAAATGGTGCTTCTGATTTAGCCGTCCACGTTAAAAGCAGTTTCCAGCTACTTTGCAGTTTTGCAGGATTTGCTGCGGTTCACTAAGCATGCTTCCTGCGGTGAATTAACTGGAGCTGGTGTGTAATAGATTTAAAAATTTACAAGCTGCATTTTTATAGTTACTTACTTAGAGATTGGCAGGGAACACGTGGTCTAGAGAACCATTAGGAAGGGGGCAACAAACGTGACATTCCGTTTGGAAATACTACTGTGTCCAGCTACGTTATGCCCTAAATTACATTTAAATGCTAAATCACACTATTCTGATCATACTTAATTTGCTAAAGCATAACATTTTCCTCATATAATACCTCAGTTTAAAAATTATTACTGAACATTGAATACTCAATACTCAATAATCAGCGCCTTATTCCATGACATTAAAACCGCTTAATTTTATGACAGCCAGAACTAATCAATCATAAAAACTGTAAATCAAAGGATAAAAAGCATGTAACTGCACACTGTTCTGCCTGTAATTCTAACTTAGCCTTAATATTTGTAACACTCCAGATGGGACAGTAACTCGAGGAAGAAGCAGAAGTCTCAGGTAGAGAAGTTAGTGTACCGAGGTGTACCAAACGATCTGAGAGCCCTGATTTGGATGGTCCTGGCAAACGACTCAAACAAATCTCATCTCAGACTCAGATACCCTGAACTTATTGAGGTTTGTTTGTTCGCTTGTAAATCTGGCAATTAACCAACTTGATAGTTGAACTAATTACAATATAGTTAATTAACATGAATTTCTAAATTGCCCTGTGATTCCGATTTCCGGCCTCTTGGTGTTAGAGATTGATTGTGTCGCAAGGCGTCTCCTGAGTAAAAAATGACAAAATTTATCCATTTGTTATTTTACCTCAAATAAATAATGTATAATACTATATTTATACACATTTTATATATGATATTATACAGAGTGTATTATATAATATTATATAATACACTCTAAGAAATCGCAGGTTAAAGGTCAGTTGTCTACAGTGCGCCCTGTTACAACCACTAATACACGAAATTCTACATGATTCTACTGAAAATATTCAGAAAATCTCTCCGGACAAAGTTTTAAATCCACGAAAATACCATTAAAACAAAGTAATAAAGGTGTAATAAAGGTGTAATATATATAATTATAAAGGTATACTTTACATGAACCGCACGTCTGGGTCCATTAATTAATGAAACAACTTTTGTCAACACAAAAGCAATATTAGCTCCATATTATAACCCATTAAAATGGTACACTCCCAATAGTATACCATTACCTACATTTACCTCACATATACCAGACTGATTGGATATCTTGATTGAATTTTGTTCCAGTTTTTGCGATGCCCAAATTAGGTTTACAACTAGGTACCGTGGCTTTACGCATAAGTTTTAGTTCAACTGTTTAACAAATTATCTGAGTTGTTTAAATTTGAGTATTTAGAAATGACGTCGAATGTCGTAACTTTATTATAACATCGTCATCATCGAGTCTAATCAGGAACAATACAAATGTTCTTCAAAGTAAAGTAAATTTAATTACTATAACCTTTAACCTATAATATAACCTAAAACTGTTTCAGCAAACGTCCCCATGTGAGAAGCTGATAAGAAGAGATATCTGCAGAACATACCCAGAACACAAGTTCTTTAAAGAACAGGGACAAGAAGCTCTTTTTAACGTCATCAAGGTATGTGCTGATTAGACACAGCTTTCACCTTATTTTAACAGAAGCCACAGCTTTCCAAACCCCCCCCCCCCCCCCTCCCCCACTGTTAATTTATAGCACATTGCAACTCAATATCTTAGTGAGTTAGTGTTTGGTCCTATAACGTATAAACACGTACTAAACGTGTGTATACACGGGCTCGTGTTGTTTTAGATACTGGATAGATACACAATCAGATGATCAAAGACTACCGGTGATATTTGTGTTGTTAAAATTACCTCCAAATATTGGTTAAACCTTCAATAATTTACGTGCACGAACTACACTCCGTTATATTTTATAAAGGAGCCCTTTACTTTATAAAGACGGTTAATGATGAGGCCTTCAAATGAAACAAATTAAATACGACAATAAGCTTCAAAATTTGTACTTACATAATATATTATCATAATAATGATTGTATAATATATAAATGTTGTTTCAGGCGTATTCGTTGCATGACAGAGAGGTTGGGTATTGCCAGGGTTCACCTTTCATTGTTGGAATACTGCTACTACAGGTACGTGTAACTACTTATATCTTTTAATCGGTTAATTAGTCCTCCTTCTCCTCAGTCCTCCTCCTCTTCAGTCCTAATCCTCCTCAGTCCTCCTCCTCCTCAGTCCTCCTCCTCCTCAGTTCTCCTTCTACTCAGTCCTCCTCCTCCTCAGTCTTCCTCCTCTTCAGTCTTCCTCCTCTTCAGTCCTCCTCCTCCTCAGTCCTCCTCTCCAATCCTGGATCAGTTATATTACATCTTATTATAACATAACCTCTTAGAACCTATATTAGTTATTGTTAGGGTCTCTAACTAGACACTAGAGCCGCCTCATCAAGTCTTTACTGTAATCTAAGGAAACAGCCTCTATAATGTTAGTCGTCACTACAGTCCTCCACGTGACTTTTCACAGCTAATCAGTTTGCAGTATTAGCCGCAGCTACCAATCACAGAATACATGTACTGTATTTTTGCTGGCACGTGCTGCTCCCACGTGGTGTTGGAAGGTTGAATACAGTGAAATGTTGAGTGCTGTACGTGTATGTGAGTTTTGTGATAGAGTGTTGGGTTACATGCACTTGTGATATTAGTGATGATATTCAGCTACTACTCCTTTATAAATACTTCTTATGCTAAGAAACCTACTTAAAACTGACGATAATGTATTTTAAAGTGTTGGTTATTAATTTTATCAGATATCTAACATCGTGCATGACACATGTCACATTCTACAAATACCTTTATACCACACCCTTAAAATACCGCATCAGCGGAAAGTCTGCCACATGTAAAAGTAAGGATCTACGCAATATTGTGTGTTTCCTCGCGTAAGCGGTTAATTTAAGTAATTAAGTCGGAAGCAATTTTCAGTAACTTAATTGTAAAACAACGTGTTTCTCAGGGCAAAAAGGCAACACTTTTGGTATCATGTAAAGATTTTGGATCCTTCAATTTGAAACACAAGGAAATATCATAAAATGTACATTTATATTAGAAGTTTTCTCCTCTAACCTTAGCTTTGCGCAGTGGCATTACCATAGTCAATGAGGTCCAACCGAGACGTGGTTATTGCTAGTTGAAAACTAATCCCAATATCCCGCTATTGCGATCTTTCATTAGAGAGCTCTAGCAATTTTTCCTGGGCTGCTGGTCAGCCCTTCCTAATAATGAATATTGAACAGTCACAAGACAATGTGATGTTATATTCTAGCATGTACAGATCTTTCGACCATTCACCCACTCCAATTCACCGTCCAAAAAATCTATCTGAACCATACACGGTACACCCACTTAAATTCTCCCTTCTGATTTGTCTGCAAGTGAACCAGTCCACTTATTTTACCACCTTATTCGTAGGACTGAGCTGTCACGGCGTCACGCTCAGTTTCAGCACCTGATTAAAACCAGGCCATGATTACTGATTAAATTTGTCATAATCAAATCAAGATCCCCAAATATGCGCCTGAAATGTCGAAATCTTACAGTAATTTAGAATGCTACACTGTGGAGGTGGCCTTGCTGTTTAATGGTTGCGTGGTAGTGCTAATATTGGTGGTTCTGTAATGATTGCATCTGAATGATTTCGACGCACTGGGGTAAGGGGTTGGGCAGAAGGAATGCAAACTATTCACTAAATGATTCTAACCATATTACAGCTGGAATATAGAGAGACAAGGGCTTTATGAGGTATTTAAACCTGCAATAAAGGTGCTTCGGAATAGTTTGCCTTATATAGAACTTTATATCAACTGTGTTTTAGTTGTGCAACTTACAAGCTGACACACTGTTAAACTCGTTTAAATGCCATTCAATGTGAAGACGTATAATAACATCTTTATGTGAGATGTTTGTTTTACAAGTGCAAATTTCTGGTTAGGGTGTTAGTAATACTGTATTGCATGAGGTACCCAATGCTCATCACGGTTACCAAACTATTGTTACATTAGGTATGTCAGGTATGTTATGCAGGAATAATAGATAAGATCGGAATGGAAGATAAGATCAGCCCCTGAACTCTTTAAAAAGTTTTCACGTTATATTAGTTGAAACTTGTGTAATATTGACGATCTCTCAAATACCAGTTTAATTTTACGCACATATAACATATGAAATGTTTCAGATGCCGGAGGAGGAGGCGTTCTGTGTGCTGGTAGAGTTGATGGAGAGCTACAGAATGAGAGAATTCTTTAAACCTAGCATGAAGGAACTTAGTGTTAATCTGTACATACTCAGCGAGCTTATACAGGTTTTTATACACTTTCTCTATTTTATAAATATTTTCCTATTTATAAAGATATAAGAATATAAATCTGAGATTATTTTATAATGAACTGATAACTCTTGTATATGTTTTTCTTCTATAATTACAAACTACCGAACAGCACAGGTAAATACTGTCCAGTCTGATACACATCAGTACACACACCTTAAGAGATGCCTGTATATACTGAACCTAACACTGTAGTGTTTATACACAAGGTGTTGACTGACGCTGGAAATGTACACTAGTAAAACACGAGTACACACAACACGCACATTTATATTATATTGAGTAGACACTGTGTGTTGTTGATAAGCACTGCAAATATGCCGTTTTCTGACAAATGTGCTGAAAGACCCCAATTTATTTTTTGGGTCAAGGACTTTCTCTGGAAACCATTAAAACCGATCGCTGGCCCCCGAAACTCCCTTTTGAAACCGCTCAAAATTATTGCCAAAATTTGTCATTATAAATGTGTTTAAATTTGTCATAAGCCTCGAATTTTTTTTAAAGAATCATGTGTCTTGTCTGTGCTGTGAAAAATTAGCTGAAATATTTGATAACACTAGAGTAATGGCAAATAGTGGAGGATACTTGCTTGCTGTTTAACTAGCGTCAAATAAAAGTATGTTTAATTAGAGTTTCCTGGTCGGAGAGAAAGAGTGTTAGGATAGTGTGTGTAAAGTGTGTGTAACTGTAGTGTTAGTAAAGTGTGTAGTGTTAGTAAAGTGTGTGTAGTGTGTGTAAAGTGTGTAGTGTCAGTAAAGTGTGTGTACTACACACTGGTTTAAACGTGCTAATTATTTACTCTCAACACTACAGTTTAATAGATAGTCTAGAGTGTGTGTGTGTGTGTGTGTGTGTGTGGAGAATGCTTTTCATAAAAATCTGAGAATTTTTAGTCCGCGTGTTTGTTGTTGCCAAGTGTTACTGTCCGTTTTAAGAAAAATAAGTGAAGTGTTATTTTATGCACTTTTTCTATAAGTGGACCGTTCATCGGTTCATATATTGCTACAGTACTTTGGACATTGCTATCGTGTAGAAATTAAATTACACAAGCTTTTCCAAATCCTGTGCAAATACGAAGATAGCGTAAGTACCACTTCTTAGATGAATTGTTGAACGATGTTTTCAACAAGGATCTCAACTGATATGTGACACTATAATAGTGACACTATGTAACACTATAGTGCTAATATACACTAAATTATATTATACCAAGTTTTAACTTAGTTGAATGTATAATGTTATCTTATCTCTTACTCTCCATTGCAAGCAGCTGTTTCGCTACTCTACAATTGTGCAACTCAATACTTACTACTTAGGTACAATTTATGCTGTTTACTATTAGCATAAACTATTGTATGGTGACCACTTACTTTCTTACTTATTTATGAATATTAATGGAGAATGTTCCCTGAACCACCAATTTAACAAGTATACAGTAGATCATCTTCTAGTAGTATCTACCCTCCCTTCCCACACCCTTGTAGTACAATGTAGTGCTATTATTATAATAGGTCCGCTCAGATTGTTACGCCCCAAAGCTCCTGGATTATAATCACTACTATTATAATTGTATACTCCACTATCTTCCAAAGCTCCTGGATTTTATAATCGCTACTATTTTCACATGTATAACCTCACTAATATTTCCTTGGTATGGGATACCTGGACTTCCTTTAATTTGTGTCTGTGACGGAACATTAGTGACCTCTGTACACAGAATAGATTAGTACGCAATGTGGAGCTAGCTTCTTCTTGCTGCTCAAAAATATCACATGGTAGCCTAGCGCTAACCATTGCCTTGATCCACACACACATACACAACAGCTGAGGTTGTCTTGGTATCTCTGATCCACTGATTGCTTCACATACTGGGGAGGCTACCTTGTCAGACTGAATATTCCGAAAATAAGGGTGATATGAACCTAGAAAAATAGGGTAGTAAACTTGTGTGTTTAAACAACTCAATTGCACCGCGTTTTCGTGCGAATCAATTATTAACCCCCAGGAACAGATACCAGAGCTCCACTTATTTTAACCCATAATTCCCACCCCAGGAGCAGATACCAGAGCTACACTTATTAACCCATAATTCCCACCCCAGGAGCAGATACCAGAGCTCCACTTATTAACCCATAATTCCCACCCCAGGAGCAGATACCAGAGCTCCACTTATTAACCCATAATTCCCACCCCAGGAGCAGATACCAGAGCTCCACTTATTAACCCATAATTCCCACCCCAGGAGCAGATACCAGAGCTACACTTATTAACCCATAATTCCCACCCCAGGAACAGATACCAGAGCTCCACTTATTAACCCATAATTCCCACCCCAGGAGCAGATACCAGAGCTCCACTTATTAACCCATAATTCCAACCCCAGGAGCAGATACCAGAGCTACACTTATTAACCCATAATTCACACCCCAGGAGCAGATACCAGAGCTACACTTATTAACCCATAATTCCCACCCCAGGAGCAGATACCAGAGCTCCACTTATTAACCCATAATTCCCACCCCAGGAGCAGATACCAGAGCTCCACTTATTAACCCATAATTCCCACCCCAGGAGCAGATACCAGAGCTACACTTATTAACCCATAATTCCCACCCCAGGAGCAGATACCAGAGCTCTACTTATTAACCCATAATTCCCACCTGCACCCCAGGAACAGATACCAGAGCTCCACTTATTAACCCATAATTCCCACCCCAGGAGCAGATACCAGAGCTCCACTTATTAACCCATAATTCCCACCCCAGGAGCAGATACCAGAGCTCCACTTATTAACCCATAATTCCCACCCCAGGAACGGATACCAGAGCTCCACTTATTTTAACCCATAATTCCCACCCCAGGAGCGGATACCAGAGCTCCACTTATTTTAACCCATAATTCCCACCCCAGGAACAGATACCAGAGCTCCACTTATTTTAACCCATAATTCCCACCCCAGGAGCAGATACCAGAGCTCCACTTATTTTAACCCATAATTCCCACCCCAGGAGCAGATACCAGAGCTCCACTTATTAACCCATAATTCCCACCCCAGGAGCAGATACCAGAGCTCCACTAATTAACCCATAATTCCCACCCCAGGAACAGATACCAGAGCTCCACTTATTTTAACCCATAATTCCCACCCCAGGAGCAGATACCAGAGCTCCACTTATTAACCCATAATTCCCACCCCAGGAGCAGATACCAGAGCTCCACTTATTAACCCATAATTCCCACCCCAGGAACAGATACCAGAGCTCCACTTATTTTAACCCATAATTCCCACCCCAGGAGCAGATACCAGAGCTACACTTATTAACCCATAATTCCCACCCCAGGAGCAGATACCAGAGCTCCACTTATTAACCCATAATTCCTACCCCAGGAGCAGATACCAGAGCTCCACTTATTAACCCATAATTCCCACCCCAGGAGCAGATACCAGAGCTCCACTTATTAACCCATAATTCCCACCCCAGGAACAGATACCAGAGCTCCACTTATTTTAACCCATAATTCCCACCCCAGGAACAGATACCAGAGCTACACTTATTAACCCATAATTCCCACCCCAGGAACAGATACCAGAGCTACACTTATTAACCCATAATTCCCACCCCAGGAGCAGATACCAGAGCTCCACTTATTAACCCATAATTCCCACCCCAGGAGCAGATACCAGAGCTCCACTTATTAACCCATAATTCCCACCCCAGGAGCAGATACCAGAGCTACACTTATTAACCCATAATTCCCACCCCAGGAGCAGATACCAGAGCTCCACTTATTAACCCATAATTCCCACCCCAGGAGCAGATACCAGAGCTCCACTTATTAACCCATAATTCCCACCCCAGGAGCAGATACCAGAGCTACACTTATTAACCCATAATTCCCACCCCAGGAGCAGATACCAGAGCTCTACTTATTAACCCATAATTCCCACCCCAGGAACAGAAACCAGAGCTCCACTTATTAACCCATAATTCCCACCCCAGGAGCAGATACCAGAGCTCCACTTATTAACCCATAATTCCCACCCCAGGAGCAGATACCAGAGCTCCACTTATTAACCCATAATTCCCACCCCAGGAACGGATACCAGAGCTCCACTTATTTTAACCCATAATTCCCACCCCAGGAGCGGATACCAGAGCTCCACTTATTTTAACCCATAATTCCCACCCCAGGAACAGATACCAGAGCTCCACTTATTTTAACCCATAATTCCCACCCCAGGAGCAGATACCAGAGCTCCACTTATTTTAACCCATAATTCCCACCCCAGGAGCAGATACCAGAGCTCCACTTATTAACCCATAATTCCCACCCCAGGAGCAGATACCAGAGCTCCACTAATTAACCCATAATTCCCACCCCAGGAACAGATACCAGAGCTCCACTTATTTTAACCCATAATTCCCACCCCAGGAGCAGATACCAGAGCTCCACTTATTAACCCATAATTCCCACCCCAGGAGCAGATACCAGAGCTCCACTTATTAACCCATAATTCCCACCCCAGGAACAGATACCAGAGCTCCACTTATTTTAACCCATAATTCCCACCCCAGGAGCAGATACCAGAGCTACACTTATTAACCCATAATTCCCACCCCAGGAGCAGATACCAGAGCTCCACTTATTAACCCATAATTCCTACCCCAGGAGCAGATACCAGAGCTCCACTTATTAACCCATAATTCCCACCCCAGGAGCAGATACCAGAGCTCTACTTATTAACCCATAATTCCCACCCCAGGAACAGATACCAGAGCTCCACTTATTTTAACCCATAATTCCCACCCCAGGAACAGATACCAGAGCTACACTTATTAACCCATAATTCCCACCCCAGGAACAGATACCAGAGCTACACTTATTAACCCATAATTCCCACCCCAGGAGCAGATACCAGAGCTCCACTTATTAACCCATAATTCCCACCCCAGGAGCAGATACCAGAGCTCCACTTATTAACCCATAATTCCCACCCCAGGAGCAGATACCAGAGCTCCACTTATTAACCCATAATTCCAACCCCAGGAGCAGATACCAGAGCTACACTTATTAACCCATAATTCACACCCCAGGAGCAGATACCAGAGCTACACTTATTAACCCATAATTCCCACCCCAGGAGCAGATACCAGAGCTACACTTATTAACCCATAATTCCCACCCCAGGAGCAGATACCAGAGCTCCACTTATTAACCCATAATTCCCACCCCAGGAGCAGATACCAGAGCTACACTTATTAACCCATAATTTTCACCCCAGGAGCAGATACCAGAGCTCCACCTCCACTTCAAAGCACAGGGGTTCCACCCTACTACTTACGCTTCACAGTGGTTCCTCACCATGTTCGCTACTGTTCTTCCTCTTAACGCCGTGTTCAGGATCATGGATATCTTCCTCTGGGAGGTTAGTGCCTTATTTTTACTGTCTGTTTTATAATAGACTTGATTGATAGTGACAAATCACCTTTACTTAGGGTGTGACAAGTCACCAGGTTACAGTTGTAACAAGTCATCAGGTTACAGTTGTAACACTGTAACAAGTCACCAGGTTACGGGTGTAACAAGTCACCAGGTTACGGTTGTAACAAGTCACCAGGTTACAGTTGTAACACTGTAACAAGTCACCAGATTACGGGTGTAACAAGTCACCAGATTACGGGTGTAACAAGTCACCAGATTACGGGTGTAACAAGTCACCAGGTTACGGTTGTAACAAGTCACCAGGTTACGGGTGTAACACTGTAACAAGTCAACAGGTTACAGTTGTAACAAGTCACCAGGTTACAGTTGTAACAAGTCACCAGGTTACAGTTGTAACAAGTCACCAGGTTACAGTTGTAACAAGTCACCAGGTTACAGTTGTAACAAGTCACCAGGTTACAGTTGTAACAAGTCACCAGGTTACGGTTGTAACAAGTCACCAGGTTACAGTTGTAACAAGTCACCAGGTTACAGTTGTAACAAGTCACCAGGTTACAGTTGTAACAAGTCACCAGGTTACGGTTGTACAGAGAACAGTCCCTGTAATTTAATAACTTTCACAGTGGTTAATGAACTTTGGAAACTGTGGTCCTGTAAATCTTTGTTTGATTTAGTGAAACAGCGCACAGGCGCACTACCAAACTAATTAAAGTGCCTTATTACTTGATTATAGTGGGGAAATATTGCCTCTCTCTCTTTTTGTCTCTAAAAACTCATTAAACTCCATATTACTCGGTAACTCCATATTACCTGGTCAGTTTAACTGTTTAACTCCTCTCTCTCTCTCTCTCTCGACTCTTTGATAGTAGTGTGCCATATTTATACAATCTCTCACTGCTCGTTTGACGTCACAGCGAGTAGGGATCTAGAAAATCACGTACCAACATGTATATTTAATGATAAGTAACACATAAAGATATATTTCCAACCAGCTGGTGCCCTACAGCTCTCTTCAAGGTACCAAGAGTTACTGAAATCAGCAGCAGGTATTCCAGTCTTGTAATTAAGGGGTTGGTAATATGATCACGTGATATAATTACCACGTGACCCAATCACGAGATGGTGATTTATTTAATGTGCTGTATTAATGTACTGATAACATGCTGGCGAGCATGTTGTGCAGATGATTGGTACGGAGCACACGCTGCATAATATTATACATGATAATGCGGACAGTGAAATGTTATTAAATGTCTCTAGGCTCCTAATAGTTCTAAATCTCATAGAAATATTCGGATAAGTTATAGTCTTTATATCGTATTATCTTAAACAATAATCTCATAATGTGTGTCTGTGTGTGCGTGTAATTTCCGAGAAAACGGTAACGGTAACGGGGCTGGTTTTTTCGGTATAGTGCCGACAAAACTATGAGGAAGCCAAATGATGAAGGTTTTTTAAATCGGCCGGTGGTAAGTGGTTTAATTGATGGTTTTGTACCACTAATGTTACATAAAATGGCTCACATTTTCTCCCTCTTTAATTTCCATCAACAAAACTTTCCAACGATATGTATTACCTGACGTTGGAAAGTTTTGTTGATGGAAATTAAAGAGTAACATAATTTTAGAATAATTTCATATCTGGAATGTTTGACTTAAATTTTAGTAGAAATATCCATTATTCAAATCTCAGATACAAGTTCAATACTTCAATAGTGCCGTTGAAACTTGTCGTACTGTGCAAATATTCTCCACAAAATTCTTTGATTGGTTAGTGTGTGACGTGTGTGTGTGTGTATGTGTGTGTGACACGAAGCAATTAGCCCAGCAAGATATGATGCCTGGTGCTTACATTTAACAGACACCTCATTATGATTATACCAAACCTGTTTTAGCAGTTCAGGTTAATAATTACTGTCTCTCGCCTATAACATAGTAAATATAGTATAATATAGTCGTATTTAATACACTACAAACAAATTTACAATAGATCTTGATACTGGTGGGGAGGTGAAGCATATATCTGACACGTGACAGCGGTAAACCAATCAGCTTTCAGCAGTGACCCATACAATTAAAACCTAAAATTACTCAAGTTTCATTGTGGTTCACCTTCTCGATCTAAACAGTATAATAAATTTCAGAATAACATCCATATATAACAACCATGCAGCACAATAAAGGTTTATTGCAAGTTCAGTACATTGAAAGTGTCATTTCTCGTTGACACTTGACAGTCAGTGTAGCATACTTTACAGCTACAATGTTCTGGCTTCGTACGTTGTGGAAATAAAGCCTGCATTCCTGAAGTTACAATGTTCTGGCTTCGTATGCTGTGGAAATAAAGCCTGCATTCCTGAAGTTATAATGTTCTGGCTTCGAACGTTGTGGAAATAAAGCCTGCATTCCTGAAGTTACAATGTTCTGGCTTCGTACGCTGTGGAAATAAAGCCTGCATTCCTGAAGTTACAATGTTCTGGCTTCGTACGCTGTGGAAATAAAGCCTGCATTCCTGAAGTTATAATGTTTGGCTTCGAACGTTGTGGAAATAAAGCCTGCATTCCTGAAGTTACAATGTTCTGTGCTTCGTACGCTGTGGAAATAAAGCCTGCATTCCTGAAGTTACAATGTTCTGGCTTCGTACGCTGTGGAAATAAAGCCTGTGTTTCTCTACTACAATAAGTTTTCTCCTAGAGTAAGAGGGTTATGCGTGTGATATAAGTAGTGGGTAAATAAGATATATACTCTAAAATAGTTCCAACTGTCAACGCTTAATTAAATATATGTACTTTAATGGTGAAGCTGAGTAAATTACTCTGTCGATTTCCCTCAAATGTATAATGTTCCGCTAATTTCGTAGACTTAACAAACTTATCTGATGTAAGAGCTCGGAGAAATAAAACTAAATTTCGTATGCAATAAAAATGTTACTGCCACTTTTATTTTCATATTTTAATTCATAGCACACCGTATGGTTACGTATTGTTATCAATAATAACACATGATACCAGCTGTTAAAAAGATAACGAGTATAATAGTTGATAAGAATACAGTAATTGTTATAATATTCTAAACATCTAATTTCACACTATATAATGGTGTGTTTATCTTGAAATGGCCAAGTCTGTGTGTGATAAGTATTTCTCCGCTTCCAGTTTACTCAGGAGTTATTGGAATTTACACAGGATTTATCAAAGGAGATGGTATCTACATAGTAAACTGTTGTGTGATGGGACGATAACGAATCAGTGTCATGTTACTGTTTCTTGTAATCTATCAACATATCAGTTGTGTCACCTGAGATACTCGCCTCGTATTTCAACAACACGCTCTTTTACTGGATCCCAATATGCTACAGATAACTTCTTATATTAATTTTACGTGTGTTCTGGTTGTAAAGGGTACAGGTGACTCTATGAGAGGTTTCAAAATGCTGTTAAATTGAGAATTCTTATTTTATCATCAAAATGCAAAGCTAAGCTAGTCAGTGTAAAACAGTGTTTGGTCTTTCCGTGGAACACACACAATTTTTCAGAATACATAATGATGTGATAATTATGTGATAATTATGTGATGATTGAGTTACACTTTTTAAATCTAATTTGCTTTCAGCAAACGTACGATGTGATATTTCAAGTCGGTATTGCACTGTTAAAAGAGGGTAAAGATAAACTGATAAACATGGATATTGAGGGAATGCTACAGGTAAATTAAACATGCTAGCAGCTTGATGTGATATGCTTGCTTGTAGCCATTGAAAACGTTAAAATGTGTAAAATGGCTATGTTGGCACAAAACTTAAGAGTATTTGATAAGTTTATGTAGCGCGCGATGACGTTTTTGTTTAGCAATGACTAGATCTGTGGGTTCCAGTACAACATTACGAGCGCGCGCACAACTGCGCGTTTTATTTCCGCGTTAGCCTAGATAGCGACTGATAGCGAACTAACAAGCTGCCAGCATTGATCATATTATACATTTCTGGTTTACATTCAGTTCACAGTTGGTTAATAGCAGAATGTTATCGGCTGAACTAATTCATCATCGTAGACCCATCTGATATATTAGTCTTCTATAAATACCGATAGGTAATTCTGACGATTGAAATTGTTATTATATTTTCCCATGTTACCCAATATCCCACTAATTGAGTCTGTAAAGAGATTAATTAAACTAAAAATAATCATCTACTTTTACCAGTATTTCCGAACTACAGTGTACAGAAACTATGTTGGGGCCGAGGACGACCTTGTACAAAAATTGAGGCAGATAAAACTTGACCAGAAAAAGGTAGTCACAAAATCAATTTACACCTTTATCAGTTATCTCTCCCTGTTATTTTCATAATTTTACTACTTTCTGACAACTCATGTTATCCGAAATGAACTGCACGTGTAAACCTGATCTAAAAATATACGAACTACTAGTTAACACAGTGATATTACAGCTGAGAAGGTTAAAGCAAGTCTGGACAAATGAAAAGGAACGGGAATCTTTAGAGCTAGAGGAATGTAAACGACTTACATTCGAGAACAGTGTGCTTTGTCAGAGAATCAAAACACTAGAGGACGAAACTTGTCACTTAGCGGACAAACTTATCAAAGTAATTAGTTAATGCAATTTCAACTTTTAGATATAAACCAGCAGTTTCTCAAGTTTGAGCTGTTCTCAAGTCTTAACTCTGTCTCAGCTGCAACTGTGATATCTGAACCGGTTAATAATCGTTTTAGCTGTATAAACCGCCACCAGGGTCAAGTTAGTAGAGCTGAGCAAGCAGAAGAGATGTTTATACTGAAGAGAGAACTAGTGGCACTGAGGAGACACGACGGTGAGCTAAACGAGAAACTGAAGGAATCCACCAGGAAAAACTGCTACATTGACGCAAAACTACATGGTGTACGTTACAACTTCTTATTCTTATTTCTTGTTATTTATTTCTCAATATATTGTTCTGTTCAGAACATGGGCTCTTGGCCCAGGTACCCCCATTTCATATTTATTTCACACTGATTAATTTGTTTGTTGGGTTATAACTGGTTAAATTTGTTAATTAACTGGTCTGTTCATAATCATTGCCTAACTACTAAGTAGCCATTTCAAGCTGATTAGTTGGCCTTTTTTCAACCTTTTAGACTCAGCACATGATATATGGCTCACAATAATAAAAGTGATGAATGTTTCCTGCAACTACTGGAGACTACGTCATGATCTACTTGTCAATAAGTTAAGCACTGCTCACAGAACACTGTACCAGCATCTTGGTGTCACTAATAGTTACAGTTTTTATAGCATCTCTGACGAAACATTTGTTCTAGAAGGAATGTGAATCACCTGGTGAGTGAGACTGAGCTCTCACAGCATGTTGTATTCAAGCCTCAGTACGGAAAGCAGGTGCTTAGAAGAGCAAAAGTTCTACTTCTCTCGAAATGTTTTTGAAAGTTCTAGAACATTGTAATATTAAGCAATGTTGTCAAGTTCTTAAGTTCTTTTCGGCTATAATCAATATGTTATGACCGAATAAAAAAGCAATCGATGGACAACTGGATCAGAATTATAATTCGTGTAGTTCTCTTCCAAAACAGCTGCAACGGAATGAAATCATTCGCTATGCTACATATTATGATGAGAGTATCGAAACTTTCTGAAAGTTTACTGAAGAATCACAATTGTATCTCGTCAAACTGGGCTGTTATGTTCATCTAAAGATAATTATCATCCAAAAAATATTAGTCAGTTTCTTCAAATTCGGGGTTGGTGTTTAAAGTAAATTTCCAAATATTAACTGTAGACCCACCCAAGCCAGCTAACAAGCCAACCAACACATAACTTTACAGATCTGTGGAGAGAACGAAGCCCTGCGACAGGCTCTCTCCTCGCTGGGACACGACCCCATGCAGTTTGTACAGAACGTGGAGATGCCTAACTGTGTGTATAGTAACACTGTTAAACTGCCCAAACTGGACAGCTGCCAGGTGAATAGGGAATAAGGATATCTTATTTTCCAGGTATTGACAAGTGTGAACGATTTATTGTTTGGGAAACGTAGAGATATACTGTATTTGCAGGTAAACGAGTGACATCCACCGCAAAATGTCAGATCCATTCTCTACCTCCGTTGTTCCACCTCCATGTCACCAGCAACCAATTATTGTGTGTTTAAACGTATATATGTAACAGGGAAGAGAGGAGAGATGTGATGCTGGTTACTGTACGATAGGGAGACAAGAATCATCGGAGTGTAACCCCGGTGCGATGCAAGTCCTAGCGGAGAACACATCATCAAATCAACAGGTTAGATTCCTCGGCTTATTTGGTGTGTTGCCATGGTAACCCTTCAGGTGACATTCTGGTTATCTTTCAATCAATGTAGATTGTAAAACTGGAAACTCAAAGAGGGATGCGTCATTGGACTTTCGCCATGAAAAAATAGAGACATTTGTGACATAATTTTTGTCACTTTTTGGCGTAATGCTACAACGCACGCCCAACAATTAAAAGAATATACCAAAACCCTCAGAGCGGAGGAGATAAGAGTACACACGCCAGGTCGATATCAAGTGACAGTGTGATATCCAGCTCTAGTTCCGAGCAAGCAAATCATAACAACAGTTATTACAAGAATAATATGCAGGTATGTCCCAACTCTATCAGATTGTAAAAGAACAGGTAGGTAAGTTACTTGGTTGGTATTGACCCTCAGATCCAAAACTAGGATTCAGTACCAAGTTGAGGAATGTCAGGAATGAATCCTCTGTAATTGTTTTATTCCTACGCCATACGCGTTTTAACCAAATATTTACTCTGATGATGATATCCTCTTGAAACCACATCGCTGGAATACGTCTTACTTTTAAATCTAGAACGCATTTCAGACGGACTCAAAGTTGGTTATATCAGAAGGAGGAAGCTCTCTGAGCTCAAACTCTAACAAGCTATCAGAGGGCCTAAAGAGGACATTTGGTTTGTCGGATAAAAGCTCTTCTAGTCGGGTCTTGTAGTTACTGTTAGATTGCTGTTAGGATATAAAGCAACGAAATGTGGAGGGTGACGTCAGAATACGTGGTGTGACGTCATGACACTTGGTGTGACGTCATGACATTTGGTGTGACGTCATGACATTTGGTGTGATGTCATGACATTTGGTGTGACGTCATGACTATTGGTATGACGTCATGGCACTAGATGTGACGTCGTGGCACTTGGTGTGACGTCATGACATTTGCTGTGACGTCGTGACACTTGCTGTGACGTCATGGTATTTGGTGTGACGTCATGGTATTTGGTGTGACGTCATGACACTTGGGTCTTGGTGTAATGTCACGACACAAGGTGTGTGTGACATAATTCAGTACTTTTGATTTGAGATTTTGAACTAGTTCGAGATGCTGGGCGTTGAAATGCTATCAAAAGTTCTTCTCTCCAAAATGTTAACATAATATGAAAAACTTAGAGATTTTAAGCGAGATAAATTGATCCATGCCCGGATCCAAAATGATGTCGCGATATATTATATCAATCCGGTTACTATGAACTATTGAAGGTATGATTTATCTGAGATCACTTCTATTTTTTGTTTTGCTGATACCAACTCTTGATACAAGCAAACGGGATGTTTTGATTCTGTAAATTTAATTTCTATTTTGAAGATAATATATTTGTACGGTTGATAATGTGTGTAATTTTTGTATTGTTATTTATACTTTACGTTTGTTTTGGTGAACCGATTCCAAACTTTAACATTTGATTTTTAACTTCATAGTATTTTAGTTTCAATTGTTACTCATGAGTACTGACACTGTGGCAACGGAGAAATTTTGATCAAAGTTGGGACTTGGTAAATCTTGACGGATATTACTCGTCTATTAATTTCTTCGAAGTACAAAGTACGCGCCATCTAGAGAACTTGTTTAAAATTAAATAAGTAGTGTAGAGTGAACATCATCGTGAGCTCCGAATGAGCTCTTTAATTTATATTCTAGCACATTTCTGTACAGAACTTTCTTAAATTCTAGAACATAGAAAGTAATTTTACTCTTCGGCGTGGAAAACAAAGAAACAACTTGTTCTATGTGTAACATAAGTATAAAAACGTACACAACTGACCGTGTAATAGTTCCAACAAATTTTGTTGAAACATAACTTCGATGTTGCTGACATTGCTAACACTGGCATTGCTAATGCTAACAGAGGATTGGCCTTTTGCAGCCCTCGAGATCAATTCATCTAAAATTAAGGCAGATAAAAGAAGTCATTGTATCTAAAAGTAAATTTAGATGCGGAACCACGGCGCTACTTCGAGAATATTTCCTGTAATAATGTGGCGAGCTTGTTGCACGTTACAAATACATGTGCGCGGCTCTTTGAGCAACGCTAGAGAGTGACCATCATCTTAGAAGTAATAACGAAATGATTCCTTCTATCAACATTAGCAATATTCTAAATGAATCGATCAAACAGGTTTGACGTTTGAAGAACAGTCAAAATCCCGGAAAAGAGTATCATTAAGTGGACAACCCACCTCTTCCAAAGAGCAGAAGCAAGTTGAGATAATGATCACACAGGACCAACATTGAAACATATTGCAGAAAACGAGACTCCGGGAAAAATAATTTAAACCGAGAACACAAAACACAGGATAGGTAGCAGCCAGCCGACTAGGAACCCATCACAATAAATTACGTATATTTGAAATAATTTACATTGACTGTATACAATATATAATCACGTGAGCGGCAGTTTTTCCACCACATCTTCGTACCAATAAAAAGTTTGGACAAGATTGTCCCCTATTTTGAACACCCCTCATTTTTTGCTTTTATTAGCGGCAAAAATGGGATCATAAATTATTAAACGCTATTTACATTCGGTAAAAATGAAACTTTTAACGTTTGATTTGCTGAGCAAATTAAGCATATATAAATTAATCGTAACAGTCTTTTTGGGGCGGGAAAAACCTTTAAATTCGCTGATTAGGAGGCACGTATAAAAATAAAGGGTAAAACTTTCGAACATCCCAGTTAGTTCACTGATTGAGGTTAGCTAAGAGTGTTCTGACAGTTCTCTTCCTCTGTCCGATGAATCACGTGTTGTGACGTCACGTGAGAAATCACGTGTCAATACACGTGATGATCACGTGCTAGTGTTCGTGGTAGACGCGTTGTCCTGAATCCGCGTGCAGTTTCCTGTCCTTGGCGCTGAAACTGTGCGACCTTACGTGTCCCGCAGAGTACCTGGAATAAAGGGCACAATAAGTTTGAGAACATGATAATTGTAAACTAACTAACTAATTAGTCAATTAATAAAGGAATAACACTTTACAGATTGGGTGGTAGATCCACTTACCTAGCCCTAGAAGGGGCTGCGGGTGGGGTGGTAGAAGTCCCAAACTTTGAGGTGTAGGTACTGTATTGCTTGAACATTCCGCGAACATTTGCACTGAAAAAAGGGATGTCAACAACAAATCCCGTAAACAACAATTAAGTTGATGAGCATTGAAATGATTGATAATGACATTAATTGTTAGTGTTAAAATGATTGATAATGACATTTGCTAGTGTTGAAATGTTAATATTTGCTAGCAGTGAAATGGTTGATGTTTGCCAGTGTAACTGTACCTGTTGCTGTTAGATGATTTGTAAGCCTGTTTACGGGCTGTCTGTGGTGGGTGAGTGTAACTGTGGAACTGGGTGTAACTTGGAGCCGACGCGGTTCTTTTACACACCCCATGTGACTTTGCCAAATTACCCTGCGATGTCACGCCAGAACCACGTGACGTCACACAACTATCACGTGACTTCATTACATTATCACGTGACTTCGTTACACTGTCACGTGATTTCATTACACTGTCACGTGACTTGATTACACTATCACGTAACGTCATTACACTGTCACGTGACGTCATCAGACGGTTGTGATTTTTGGTGAAATGGCCGCCTGTAGGTGTGAGGATGAGGCCAGTGAAGGGCCGTTCCCGTTCAGGATACCGTTTGGAGGCGTAATAACGCTCGGTTTTTCGGGGGACTGCTGCAGGGACCAACTGGCTGGCAGTGTCACTGTGATGTTTTAATGTGTGATAATATTGAGTTGTGTGGATTGATATAATTTAAGAAAACCAGCGGTGAAATCTGGGCCAGTTGGTAATCTAGCTAGGCACACTTGGGGCATACTTAGGGCTAGATTACTAAGTTGTCGGTACATGCTGTTTTCGATATCTACTTTTTTATCATTATTTTTTTTGTATTTTTTTGTCTTGCTCATAGAGGTCTAGTAGCAGCTTAAAACCAGAATGTCTACGAAAAGTTCCGACTCCCTCGCTTAGACTCTAACGCTAGAAACCTTTATGGCAGCAAGGGTTGTACTTTTGTATGATAAAAATGCTAAACTCACTCGGAGAGGAGAGGGGTCGACTTCTTATACTCACTGGTTAACCTGAAAATAAAGAAACTAATCAAACAAACTGGTTAACAAACTCTATCGTTACTTTAACTGCTTGGAATGACCTTATCATGCATAAACTGGCGCTTGCTTTATATTTTCAGTGCTTGGTATCCTAGAGGCCTCACTGCACTGCTGAAATACATTTTGCTCTGCGCTATAAACTGTCAAGTTGGGTTTTTCTAAAATCCGAGGTTGGAAAAGCTTGGAATTCTGATAGCCTGGAAGTGATCCATACGGCTGGCGAGTGCCCTATAAAAAGGATTTGGTCACACTTAATCCCCACTCCATACATATCACACCAAAACACACCAAATCACACATGCAGTGCCCACTCTTTATACTCACGAGCCACACGGCTGTCCACTTGACTCCACTTTTCCCACTACGCTCTCATTTCACTACTCATCTCTCCAATCCTACTACAAATTGGTTCATTTTCGGGGGAACTTTCTCAGTTTGGTTGAAATCAACCTTTATTTTGTCTTAGTAATAGATTTGTTTGATAATTCTATTTAATAAAATAGATAATTTAAAGTGATAACTATTCAATGGCAACTGAACTTGAAGAGACAAGGATAGCACATTATAGCTCGAAAACAATTTGTTAAAGGAGATTTAGTAACTGCAGCTTCAATTGAACAGCACGATTTTAATTATAAATGCATTTGAAATTCAATGTGAAACTTACAGTAGGATTAATTTGAAAGTTAGATAATTTCATATTGCATGTTAGTAAGCAGGGACTGATTTGATTACTATTAAATATATTATGGGATTCACAGTACACCCTCGCTATGTTAAACAATTGTAATCTACAGAAAACAGAAACTGAATCACATTTACATTAAAGTCTTGATACTGTTGTAAAAACAGTGATCCGTTAAAAAGCATGACATGCAAACAGTGATTCTCAATAAATGACACGAAACAAGCAAAATTGTATGAAGTGTTCAAAACCCCGGGAGTTACAGAAGTGACAAGTTTGGAAAGTTGTTAATGCAGCATGGTTAGCTCAAGGAATCAATTAGATATTATCATTATACATCCACTGTTTGCACGTGCCCACATGCGCACGTGCTTGTGCACGTGTATGTACTCGTGATGTGCACCAGTGTGTCGGGTGGATATACAACCATGCTCGGGAGATTCAATGCTACACATATATGAGATAGTGATGCCAGCACAGCAACATACCTAAAAAAAGGGGTCAGGGGGTTTTAGGGACCCCAGAGGTCTTAATCTATAAGGGTGACTCCGTCTGTGCGTCCTATCCCCTCCCTTGCTGCGCGAGATGGAACCTTTACTCAACACCGCAAATCATAAGGGAGCCGGGTTTGTGTTTTATAGTGCAAAATTCATGCTAGTTCCTGACTGATCTACCTCAGGTTCAGTGGGCCTCTAGTGTCGAGCTGGCCGAGTAGCCGCAGCAAACTCCAAATTTTGCGTTTAGAAATTTAGTTTGAACGAAATATCACCGGCACGAATTGGACCAAGCAATCTTAGGAAGTCTTAATGAGCTTCATGATATTACGGTAGTGCAAGCAAAATGTGTTTTTAAAAGAACCATCTGGTTTTAAAGAACCGATTTTTAGGGTCATGAACCGATAGTTCAACGTTCAGGAATAAGTTTTCAGCACACAATACAAACTAGCATGCATCATGACAAATCAGTTTATGATCATATCCGACTCCACAGACGATTATATGGTGATTTAGTTAAGGACAGAACATGGGGGGACCACGTTTTAAAACTTTTTTAGTTTTTTCATGAAAATCGATCTGTTAATAAACTGTCCCCCTTATCATCATACAATACATTCAACTGTACAAGTCAGGTGTCATTCAACTTCAAGCAGCCCGCGCGTGCTCTTAATGGATGCTATATCTTACTGAGCCGGGGGATACGGCCCACGTTATGACACGTGACAATGTGACATCCAGTCAGAATGATCTGTAGTCACGTGCCAAACGTGCACCGCTCCCCCAAGAGCAGCAATTATTACTGTTCTGATGATTTTAACGAACGACTAAGTATTTTAGCTGGGAGCGGTACAAAAGACGGAACTGTCACGAAACTTACTTGTGGTCAGCAACCAGGGGGCGACTTCTGAAGGAGGTGCCAGTCAGGGTGTTGGGTTTCAGGGGTGACATGGTGCCTGATCCAAGGGAGTTCCTGAAATTACATCGCTCGTGAAGACTGGCTTGTTACAATAGAGACAAACTGATTACTTGGTTTAAATGATAGGATAAGCTAGCAATACTAATTCATTTGGGATAGACGCATTTTTATCGGTCCTAATACTCATTACTCACCGTATTCCATCTGATAAGGCTGATGATCGGGTATTCATTGCAGGGGAATCCTCATACCTAAATTTATGTCTATAACATCGTTAGAAAAAATAAACCAATCGATAACAAAATATTCGAATGATGTCAGTTTTTAAGAAACGGTGAAACAGGAGCTAGAGCTGAACGTATTATAAATACCACACATACTGGTCAAAAGTTTCAGCAAAATTCGATGATTTTTAACGAAGACTGAAAACTAAACTCTCAAAAGAAGTATTTACCTCTTTGCAGTAGAGGAGGCAGAACGAGCCTGTCTGGCGGGACGCTGAGCTTTCCTCTGTCTCAACTCATCCCCTTGGGTTAAACCAGTATTTTCATCCGGCTCGATGTCCTCGTCCAGATTCAATGATCCTACTTTTTCGGACAAACCGTTCACAATGTTACTATCTGAAGAATTAGGTTTTTATTGTCAAATCTGAGATTGTTATTTTCAAATCTGAGATTGTTATTTTCAAATCTGAGATTGTTATTTTCAAATCTTTTGAACACGCATCACGATGTTCTGTTTCTATCGCGCGTGCTGCGCGCGGCTCAGAAAAAGAGCACAATTAGAGAGCGCGAGGACAATTTCGATACAAGAAACTATACGCGCGCGACGTTCAATTCGGTATTGCACCTAAACTGTGACAGAAAACGCGATCTGTCATATTATATATTAAAGTCACTATTGTGACGGTACATTAGAACCAGACAGAAACAAAGTGTGAAGGGCCTGAACGGAACCCCTCGGTTTCAGTTCCTTGTTTAACACTGCCGTACAGCAAGGACATCTGAGTCAGAACCTTGAAGAGGTGAGATTAGGTGTTTAATGTATTCGTCTGATCGGCTGTTATAAAACGAAGTGATTAGCTGAATCTCTAGTGGAGGTAACCTAGATTGTATTGGAAATGAGCACGCTTGTACGAGAAATGCCGCATTGATGATATCCATTGACGTGCAAGAAGAACGCATATATTGCAATCGTTCATTCTAATTTGTTAAGCGCGAAAATCATGCATGGAACGATGAAATGCAATTGATAAAAATCAAAACTGAGCGATCACCACATTCTTTTAAACGTTGTATTGAAATAAGAAAATAAAAGCAGCAATAAAAGCAGCATGATGCAACAAAGCGATGTTTTGCATAAGAATACGTTGGGATCTTTTAAAACCATCTAAGGGCTCAACGTCAACTTACACACAAAACAAAGACGCTCATGATCAATTCACGACATTAAATAATGCAAGTAAAAAAGTATTGACTAACTCGAGTTTAGGCAGGATTTGTAGATATCTCCCTGAGTCCACATCTGGGTTTGTTTCTCTTCCATGTAATACTGCTGAGGTCCTATCACAGACCCAGGTCGAGCTATCCTGCAGGGAGATAAAATAGTAAATACTTAAATTACTACTTACTGAAGAATTAAATACCAACATTACAAAGGTACATTCTCAAGCTGCCAGTAGTACAATACGTTGAAATACTTCAAAACATTCCATGTCGAATTATGCAGTTCATTTATTTACCAGGCATTTTTAATGTGCTAGAATATTCTAATATTCACATAATATTGAATACTGAAATTTAAAGACTTTTGGTGTATAAACATACAGTCAATGTCCACTTCAGATATTTGGAGTATGTTGTGTGTTTTACCTCCGTGAAATGTGATACGGTAGATCCACCACATTATTACAATCTATCAGTGAATCATTTAGTGATTCAGTGTGTCACATAATTCCATTACTGTTGGTTGCTAGGCGATGTTGTCAGTATTTCACATTATAGGTCAGCGGCAACCTAACACACAGTGCTATTCACTTTGTACTGTCCCCCCCCCCCCCCCCCCTTTGTACTGCCCCCCCCCCCCCCCCCCCCCTCTGTACTGTGTATTAGACACCACTGGATTAATATAAAGAAAAGGTACAGCAGTTTTAGAATGTAAGCATATTGGTTGTGATTATTCCTTGTAAGGCAAGGTTAGCCTTCCTCAGAATTGTTTCAGTGCTGTTGCCATTGAAAATGCTCGCTTTAAGGTGGCCGTTCTCTCAGAGAGCTAGAGCACATTCGATTAAAGCGGTTCTGAGAATAAAATTGGATTTCGACCGTAATATAAGAACGAAGGATATTTTGATCGTTTGTGGGTACTGGGTGATTACAGTTGATTTTAATAAAATTTTCAGATTCATCCAACCTGTACAAATTTCTCTGGAACCATAGTATCACATTCCCAGATAAAATGATATAGGAAATTTATAGATGTGGATTCTCTTGGGGAGGTGAGGTACATTATTTGTTTACTTTTAATAGCAAGTACCTGTTCAGCACAAGAAAGAGGTGATGCTCATTTTGTATTATGGAAGCTTTCGTTCAGAAAATAAATCGGGACCTTCAAAGGGGGGTAACAGGAGGGCCAGGGTAGCAGAGTTACAAGCGTTACAAGCGTTCCATAATACATCACCAAATGTGCATCACCTCTTTCTTGTGTTGGACAGGTACTTACTATAAAAAGTAAACAATTAATGTACCTCACCTCCCCACGAGAATCCACATCTATTATTAACTGATAATTTTCTGAACTTAATGGTATGCATTACTCAGCACGTGATTTGTACGTAAAACAGGGCCAAATTCCAGAACGTGGCTGGACTTGTTTTAAAAGTCTGGTTTTACATGGGAGTATATAAGAGCTTGTAATGTTAGACCAGCCTGGCGAAGAATTTAGGTTATTTTATTTTATTAACCTTAGAGAAAGTGTTGTGTTTTACGCTATATATGTTATTTATTAATGTTATTTATTAATGCTTTTCAAACAAAGTTACAACGAATTCTTCATGTAGTGCATCCTGGGTTTGGACAGGATATGCCCGTTTAAAATATTTCCATCACGTTACATTACATAATTCTCAATAAATGTAATAGATTTGTAGTGTTGTAATTAGTTTAAAACTCGGTACATATTATTATTACATAATAATGTCAGTATTATGTAATGATAAAATGTACCAAGTTAACATTTAAAATGTACACCCTTTTTTCATTCTATCTGCATTGAAATAACCGTTAAAGCTGCAACGTTTCAATCTCGGATAATAGATTTATTTGACAACAATAAACACACTTATTTTTCACTTTATTCCGTCCCAAAATCAAACAATAAACACAAAATCAAACAATAAACACAGATCTTCGTCTCTCAGGCACTACATGACAGTTGACAGTTCCTCTGCCTCCCAGTGAAGTATAACAGAAGGCGACCACTGAAGCTGCTAATTATACTCCATTAGGTAACTATTATAAGTTCTAACACTAGTGTATCCTTCAGTTTATCGGCCAGTGCGTACAATCAGTACCAGTGCATACAATCAGTACCATGAACGATTGTATTACAATTAGCTTATACCGCCTGAATTCGGAACTAACTTATTACAATAGATACACACAACTCACAACTCACAAGTTAAGGAGCAAGATATCTGTCCATATTTAATGCGATAATTATGATAATTGCGATAAGTATGTCTAATTATTGTCTAATCATTGGCTGACTGCTGCACTGCTTCTTTAAAATTATTGCCAATCACAACATCGGTTACTCCTTCATGATAACTATAAATTACAATAATATGATCAATTATAAATCATCGTGATCGCATTTTAATGAAACAGTTATCCTAATTACAGCTCACGACTAATGCAGACGCACTAATAACTTAATAACTGATAATTGAAACCATTAACCAGTCCTTTTAGCCTTGAAATGGCGTGGCCGAGAGCCATTTTGTATTCCCTGGCACAGTTGAAGAGTGTTATTCTCAATTAGGGAGTGTAAAACACTCTTCTCCGCCACAACTAGGCAACTAGTATGTGTAAAGCATGTTAAAGCTTGCTCCGAGCTTGTAACTGCAGAAATGTAATATATTTGTCAGGACACAACTCACATTTAAATACGTCAAGTATTTGGCAGGACACACAAATCTAGGTCCACATTCTATTTGGCAGTCCACACTCCACATGGTATTTCAGTGTATTTGGCACTGGATAACTGCAGCAGGACTGTGTGTAATTACACATTCCGTACACATGATGGAGGAGCTCTAAATATTAGCTAATATTGTCTGTATCCAGTGATCCAGTCTGCTAACCAGCTAATCTAAAATACCCTCCAATCTTCTCCTACACTCACTAACCACCCCGCAAATAGTCTGCTCTAATCCTACCCTCTTATCCAATCAGAGGTCAGTATTACAGTCACGTGACTGACTCCCAACCGCTCAGAGCGGCGAACCAGGCCACGTGACTGGTGGTAACCAGTGTGGGGAGGGAGGAGGGAAGGGAGGAAACGTTAAGGGATTAAGAACAGCTTAGTTGGGGGAAGTAGACTTAAGTCTAGGCAAAGACAGCTACGTAATAATACGGGTATAGTAACTTTATAGAACTTTCTAGAACCAACTTCTAAATTAGGAGCGTGTAAGGAGTGTAGGAGTGTAGAGGTTAAGATTAAGAGTTAACGTTGCAGTCTGTAGCTGGTAAATACTGGATAACTCAGGTTTGTAGTTAGATACTAGATAATTACACTCTGCCAGCCCAGCGACCTTCTAGTGGTTGTAGTGAGTAAAGTAATAGCGAAGATTGAGGCTCTAATGATGTAGTTTTACGAAGATTTCAAGCCTTACATTGTGTGTTTCCCTTCGTGTCCAAAAGCATTATATGAATATAACTACATTATCTAAGTGCTAGTGCTTGTAGTGAGTAAAGAGACATGATCTACAAGACTGGAATAAATTGTGTTCAAATTTTGGACCAGCTAATTCGGAATATTAATATTATCTAGAGTTGAAACTACTCCCGAGAAAAAGATTGACAAACCCACAAACAAACATTCCTTCAAACAAACCTACAAACAAACATTCCTTTAAACAAACCTACAAACAAACATTCCTTTAACAAACCTACAAACAAACATTCCTTTAAACAAACCTACAAACAAACGAACTAACAAACGAACACTAACCTTAGCCACGCGGTAGTTTCAGGTGCAGTAAACTGGTAATGTTTCATCATCCAGCACCCTATCAGAGTTCCTGTCCTTCCTAGCCCTGCTTTACAGTGGACTGCTATTGCTCCTTTTGTGGTTTCTGCTATCGTCAGGAACTTTCTGGAATTAAGTATAATTGCTTAAACAGTTAATACATGTACATAATTAGTTATTACTTATTTATCATTCGCATAATTTTTTTCCCTCTATCCAATATCCATGCATCTCTTTTTTGTTTGTTGTCAAAATAGATTTTTTTACTGGTCATTTGTTCGTTTCAGTACATTTTACCAAAGAATTTGAAACACCCCTCTGATTGCCAAGTATGTGGTTGACCATGAAAGATCAAACCAATGCGATCCACTCCGATCCTCACCAGAAATCAGAGATGTTCACAGAAATAATTAGTTTTTCATTGCAAATTATGAATTATCCACCTGGTCACGAATCATACTGGTTGCTAAAGACTTAAGATGGTTACCATGGCGACTAATGTACCAGACAACTAGTAAAAGTGGAGTGGTTATAATAAACATGCTGTAGCACTTACTTAGAGAGTTAGAGGCTTGTAAGTTATAGGAATATTCTGTTACATTCCAGCAACCACTTAACTCTAAGTTAATAATTTCATCATTATCACATTTTATGTGGGTAAATTATTGAGTGTAACCACAATTTAATCATATTCTAATAATATTGTTACTTAACGTTTCATCAAGGTATCATGAGCTGAAATATAACACTGAAACAATCTGGGATATACCCAGGAACTTGGTTTCGTGCCAAAACTTGGTAGGAACAGGCTGATGATAAATTACAGCTACATAATACATATTTGTTTAGGTGTAGGTTCGGGGGAATTCCTAATTGTCCTTACAATTTATGGTATCGTAAATGTAATGAAATCTACAATTGCGGATATTTCATAGGTGTAATGCATTAATAATCCTCATTAAGGCGGCCGGGGGTTCCAATATTGTGAATCATGGAAATTTATTTTATGATGTTTTCTGAATTTAGAGAGAAGTGAGATCTACTAGATATGCTCTTTATTCCATCAAAAATATTGATCCTGACCAAAGTTATGGATCCTTAAAGGTCAGCGCGTATGTTTAATGCTATTGCTTCTTTTTTTAAATTTGAGTTTGACTTTCTGTCACAGTTAAAAAAGTACATTATTGTCAGTATTTTCAGGACCTTATTCAAAATTGTAACTAACTAACTAACTAACTAACTAACTAACTAACTAACTAACTAACTAACTAACTAACTAACTAACTAACTAACTAACTAACTAACTAACTAACTAACTAACTAACTAACTAACTAACTAACTAACTAACTAACTAACCTGAGTATAGCATCAGTAGGAGTACTTCCATCCACGTAGAAGAGATCGTAGTGAGCAATACCCGCATCAGTGAACCTTTTAGCATCGTACATTCTCTTATTTAGTCTGATCACTGTTGTAACGTTGTGTTCCTGAATGTATCAGTAAGATATTGTACAATATTTGAGTACTAAAAATGGGAAAAACTCGCAGAATTCGTGGCATGACAAGAGAATGAAGATAAAACAAGAAATATAAATAATTGTATTCATTTTAAATAAGAGCATTAATTTGCATAATTTACATCAAGTCTGGTAAGTAAATTATGATTATAAACGAAAAAAAATGTACAATTTACATAATTTTTTGTTATAAACTAATCAAAAAAGGAAAGAGAAGACAAGTAACTAAGTTTTAAAGTACCTTGAAGTAAGGAATGTAAGCTTCGGGAGCATGTAACATGTAGCCGTTCTCAATCTTACTCTTATTATGGGGACCGGAGAACGCCAGGAACTTATCTGAAAAAGGATACAGTGTTTATAGAGTGTTTATAACCATTTTTATACAGTGTTTATAACCATGTTTACTGGATACCAGTCATTTTCCCACTCAATTTCGGCAGTGCTAAACAGGGCATCCATGATGATGAAAGTATAGCATACACTTTAATGAAAAAGAGTTCGAATATTGATGATACTTTTGAGGAGGACAATAACCATGCTCACTGATGACTTGATTATAATAGGGCATTTAAACGGTACTTGTCAGGACCCCACTTTTTCGAGGATGAAGAAGAGAAGGCAGAGACGATAAGGACAGCAAATTACATCGCTATGTTGCGTGGAAAAGTTATCCCAGTACTCAAAAGGAAAAAAATAATTCCTGTATATTCCAACAAGACTCGCACATTGCTCGCACGAAAGTTTGGCTTGGCTGAAGGAACATTTTGGGGAAAGACTGATCTCGAGAAAAGCAGACTTCAGCTGGCCTCCTTACAGCCCTGACCTGAATCCGGCTGATTTCTTTTTGAGGGGCTATCTTAAAGAACGTGTTTATTAGATCCAGTCCCAAAAACAATAGATCAGCTGAAAAACAATATCAGAAGGGAGGCTAAAAAGTTAAAAATTGACATGGTAAAACGTGCAATAGACAATATGCTTCCGACGGTTAAAACCTTCTATGCAGAAAGGGGGCTTGGTTCGAAAAATTGTTAAATATTTGATTTATTTTTGCTATGTATTTTAAAATGTAATAATTTGTCTACAATTTAAAACAAAAATTAGACCGTTTGTCTCATTTGTTAGATTTTGAGAGCCATTAAGATAGAGAGTCTCCCTAAAGAGATTTCAACAGAATGCACATCACTGTCTGACTGACCTGTGGAATTAGAGTTCGCCAAACTCTATAAATATATGGTACACACAGGTACCTGACAAGGGTTGATCACAGGATCAAGATACACGACGTGTACGTTTGAAACCCATGTCACGGTTGAAGCAATGGTACACCATCTGTTTAAATATTCACACCAGCTGGTAGGAATTATGATATGGTTCTCATGAAGGAGACTGATGGTGGATGATCAGTACAGAGCACGTAAACCCATGTGGTTGCTGGCCGAAACTGATGACTACTAATGAATAATAAGAGGAGGTAATAATGACTATTAATACCTCCCATCCCGCCTGGACTTCTTTACCTCAATTACGGGATCAAACCCACGTTTGTTATTATATTGTTGATGTTCATGTGTGTGTGGGGCGCTCGTTTTACCTCTCCGTTTGGACAGAGAGGCTACGTCCGCAAATAAGATCTATTGGATCTCCTCTGATTATATGATTTAAGAATAGTGGTCAAACTTGGCAGATTGTCACGTGATTACCTCGTGCTTCTCGTGAAGGAGACTGATGAGAAATATACTGATAAGAAATGATCAATATAGAGCACGTAAACCCATGTGGTTGCTAACCGAACCTTGATGCCTCATTACCTCAATCGCGGGTTCAATCACGTTTGTAATTTCCATATCGTGGATGTTGATGTGATTTTTAAAGTGGACACTGGGCTTGGGTTAACATTTTGGGAACCTGGCAGCCAGGTTCCGAAGAATGTCATTTGACACATGGTTCAATATCTGGTAAACTTTAGGTGCCGAACTACGGTATGTGGATCGTTCCATCAGATCCATCTTTATCACTCATTATTTTAGAACTTTCCATAAGACAGAGAATCCTTTAATATTCATCAGTAGTAGTAGTAGTAGTAGTAGCCCCGATAGCTGTCATGTATGGGCAATCGGCCATGTGTTATATACTCGTTTTAGCAGTTTTAGTACTATACATTAAACAGTATTTTTTAACACCTCTGTTTTGGGGAGCAGAGAGTTCATTTTAACATCTCTGTTTTGATTATCAGAGGGTGCATTTTAGCACCTCTGTTCTGGTTACAAAGAGGATAGTTTAGGAATTGTTTAGAGCAGAGAGCTTTGGGGAGCAGAGAGTTCATTTTAACATCTCTGTTTTGAGTATCAGAGGGTGCATTTTAACACCTCTGTTTTGGTTACAAGAGGATAGTTTAGGAATTGTTTAGAGATTGCTAGAACGAGTGGGAGATTGTTTATACTATCCAAGAATATTTAAGAGTGGGCCTGTTGGATGGCAGGCCACTTTTTGGTTTGAATACAGCAGACGTTTACAGTTAATGTTTACAGTTAAAGACCTAGGATATCTGTATTGTCAAAAATTAATTTTATGAAGGAGTAAGTTGTCAAAGGAAGCGCATTTGTATATTTATTTATTGCTTGTTTAATTTGTTTTTTGTGTTTAATTTACGATTATTTGTACTTGAGATTCTGCGATTAAATTTATTTTGTTGATTGTAATGTTGTGATATTGCATAATTTATTGTAAATGTAATATATGTTTCAGAAAATTATGTAATGTAACGCGATGGAAGTTCTTTAAGCGGGCAATTCCAGTCCAAACCCTGGATACATGACATAAAAGATTCGTTTTCACTTGTTTGCATGAAAAGCATTAATATATTATTTTGGTGGCCCAAAAGTAACTACTCACACGCAATAATAATAAATATTATTTTAATTATGTATTTAAAACATTTCAGCATGGACACGGGTCTAAAGCGTTATGTCGCAATATGTTTGATTATTCTCGCGCTGTATATTTGCCAGATTATGCTACAAGGAGACGGGGAAACTCCAAAGGTTGGTGGATCTCAAGTAGAAGATCTGTCCACAAAATTTCGGATTCAATTTTCTTACGGAGGGAGATGTGTTGGAATTTCTGATGATGATGCCCTCATAGTCTCTTTTTGTGACCCAACAATAAAACAAGCCTTTGTTTACTTAGATGGGATACTAAAGAAAGAAGAATCTTCACTTTGTGTTGGACTGAAAGATTCTAATACGAAGGATCTGGTACTATTAAAATGCACACAAGCTATTTTATTATACTTAGTAGATGGTAAGCTAGTCCACGATAGCCAAACAGGGAGTCCATCCTGTGTGTCACCAAAGAGTCTTACATCAAGCCCTGATTTGGGGGCGGCAGTTGCTCTGACTGAATGTGATGACCCTGCATCCCACGTGACTTTTCTAGAAGAAACAGCATTCCTCCAGGACAGGGCGGCTCTCCTGATGACGTCACCTCAAGATGACGACTGTCAGTTTCCCGCACGAGGAGCCAACAATCGTCCTCCTCTAGCTCAACTGTTACCTGAGGCTAAAGTTAAGAGATGTGTCAACTTGCCTGAGTGTGTCACTGTTGTGGTGAAGACTGCCCGGAGACCTCTTTTAGTCATACGACTTGCGGAATCAATTAGAGATGTCCTCCATCAAGATCTCCCTATGATTGTTATTGATGATGGACCAGAACTCCACCCTCCGGAGGTGATGGACCAAATTGACAAGTTCCCGAATATAAAGTACGTCGTCTCAGAGGAGGAAGACCTGGGAATAAGTGAAGGCAGAATGAGAGGAGTTAACATGGTCACGACCAAATATTTTGTAAGTATGGACGACGATAATGTGGTCACAGAATCGTGGGATGCCACCAAAATGGCAGAACTACTCGATACAACTGATCTATCTTTAGTGGGTGGGAGAACTGACTCTTTGACATGGCCTGGGTTTTTAGAATTCCGCTGCAACGAACTAGGAGATCCCGTTCTAATGCATTATATGACCTCGTGTATTACAGCTAACCAGACCTTACCCTTTTACCCGGACTGTATGCGATGTGATCTGACCAGCAACAGTTTCATGGCACGAACCCAAGACATCATACAAGTAGGTGGTTGGAGTAGGGAAGTTAAAGTTTTCGAACATCACGATATTTTCTTACGACTAAAAGCTGCTGGTAAGAAAGTGGTGTGGTGTCCAAACTTTCACGTTCTTAATGTTCATTCTGGGGGGGCTGTTCGTGATAAAGCCTACAAGGAGTTAAGGTTCAAACGGCTAGCACGGATGGTGGGATTATTTTTAAATCATTGGAACATTAAGAAACTTCAGCGCCGGAATATCGGGTCTGACACGTCTTCATCGTGGTTCCACGATTTGTAATATTTATCTTATCTTGTAATAATTATCTAAAAAATAACTAATAATCAATTAATTTATAATGGAATTAGAATTGTGTGACATTAATCGTATTAAAGTAACAATGATTTAAATTATTAAAGTTAAAAATTGAATGCCTGCGCCTGTAATTGATTAATAAATAATAATAGTAATACATTATTTGAATTGTCGAAGTCTTAGCTCGGCTTTTTATGGATATCTGACTCACTGACCATTACTCACTTTAACTCTGATTGTAAGAGGTGTTTAACAAGTAATCTGATCTAAAATTTAGTAAGCCTAATCTTGTTTAATCATGTGTAACCAAAGTTACAACATTTTTACATGATGCATCGTGAAATGATGTCATCATTAAAATGTTAGCTTCATGTCCGGGGAAAGAGAAACCACTTCTCAACTCCACTTCCCATCTCTACCTCCTAGCCTGGTAACTGTACCCACACCACGACACATGTAACAAGGTTAGAACAACTCCTGGTTGTCATGGTAACTCTACCTAGTTAATGTACACCGGACAGGACACTAGAAAGGGGACGCTTCATGCCACAGTACGACCATTTAACCGGTATGTCAGGTTATCAGTGGAACAAGTTCTAGAACATTCTACAAACGTGGTTAATTCTCTCGGGGGATCTGGCTCCGGGCCCAGTGCGGACTCACGGTTTGCTTCTTACTTCCTATAATTTAAACATCCCAACTACACTAACAATCATGTAGAGTGGAGAGAGATATTTTGTTATCATGTACGTAAAAATAGTGAAAATGCAACTGTACACTTTTCAGAGTCAAATATTATAATCTCGCTGATTCCAGCAGTACAACTATTAACATTTATTCCTGAATTCCTGTCGGCTGATTTTTAAAACAGTAGATAATATTCACACAACTATGTCGGTCACACAGGTCACAGAGAGGCTGTCCTTGTTGGAAATGTCATTAAACCTTACTCTGAGGACACGACAAAGTCCCGTGACACGACCAGGTCACTATTGTGTTCAGTAATGAGATTGGACCATTGGTTTGGGAAATGAACGCTTTGTGAATGGACTCACCATTCTCACTAATATGGCACAGCTTTTCTAAGATTACCTTTTATATAACCTTTTAGACCTGCTTTAAGGTTAATTTTTATAAAGCTGTTAGGATAATTTGAAGACATGTGCTAAAATGATAGTAATAAAAAACTAAAGGATTATAAATAGTTTAAAACTGATTTCTAGGTCCAACTTTTCAACCTGGCGTGGATCCAAAAAACCACCTTGTAACAGTAATTTCTAATCTCCCTAACTCTTAACTCATAACTTAATCTCTTTAACAAAATTACTTTGAATATTTGATACAAGAGAAACGCCATTTTCGAACGTGAGGAGAGTTAGGACTCCTCCAACTACAATTCCTTCTGTAACATCCTCAATAAATGTAATAGATTTGTAGTGTTGTAATTAGTTTAAATTGATAATCCTATTTACCAATTTACAGATTTATTAAAATCTTCATCACTAATTTTACCGACTCATTATTGTAACTAGTCCCCCGAGGATTGCACTGGAAGCTCTAAACTGATACCTCGTTATTTGAGTGCTAGAGAAGGTTCTGGAAACATAATGTTTTCAGTCACGTGACTGTTTGTTTGTTTTAGAAGCTCTTAGTAACTTGTGTTTATCGTCTTCAGCTCGGTACCTCAAACTCTTGGCTACTGTGAATGTGCTATGTGTAGCTGTGTGTTCTATGTCTGTGCTATGTGCAGCTGTGTGTAGCTGTATGTACCTAACTATATCTGTGTTATAATCTGCAGCAACACTCCGCTGAGAGCAACACCTGCTAGAGTCCTTCTCTTATCTTATAACCACTAACCAGCCCTCATTACTCTCTGTAATACCAGCTAATCCACACTGTCACCTGGTGACTGGTGTACAGTGCTATCACGTGACACCTCCGCATATCTACTAACACCGCATAGGGGGGGGTGTCATGTCCGTCTATGTCCGCCTATGTCCTGTCCTTTTTGGATTCTATGAGACAACGGACGTGTTTTTTGGGACATTGGCGGACACGGACGGACATTGGCGGACTCGGACGGACATTGGCGGACTCGGACGGACATTGGCGGACTCGGACGGACATTGGCGGACCCGGACGGACATGGGCGGACTTGGATGGACATTGGTGGACATTAGCGGACATTAGTGGACATTAGCGGACAAACATTTTGAGGACTGAAGAGTACTGAAGAGTACTGAGGAAGATGGCTGAGAAGGATGGCTGAGGAGGATGGCTGAGGAGGATGACTGAGGAGGATGACTGAGGAGGATGACTGAGAGGGAGGAGAAGGATCAGGAAGACCCAGGAGGAGGAGGAGGAGGACCCAGAAGGAGGATCTAGGAGGAGGAGGAGAACTGAGGAGGATGACTCAGGAGGAGGAGGACTCAGGAGGAGGACTGAGGAGGACTGAGAAGGAGGAGGACTGAGGAGGATGGTTGAGGAGGATGGCTGAGGGGGATGACTGAGAGGGAGGAGGAGGAGGAAGAGGAGGAAGAGGACTGAGGAGGAGGAGGAGAAGGACTGAGGAGGAGAAGGAGGACCCAGGAGGAGGAGGACCCAGGAGGAGGACCCAGGAAAAGGCCCCAGGAGGAGGAGGAGGACTGGAGAGGAGGAGAACTGTTGAGGACTGATGAGGAGGACTGAGGACGAGGAGGAAGAGTAGGAGGAGGACTGAGGAGGGGATGAGGAAGAGGACTGGGGAGGATCAGGAAGACCCAGGAGGACCCAGGAGGAGGAGGAGGACTGAGGAGGACTGAGGAGGAGGACTGACGATGACTGAGAAGGAGGAGGACTGAGGAGTACTGAGAAGGATGGCTGAGGAGGATAGCTGGGGAGGATGGCTGAGGAGGATGACTGAGGAGTCAGGAGGATGACTGAGAGGGAGGAGGAGGAGGACTCAGGAGGAGGACTCAGAAGGAAGAGGAGGAGGACTCAGGAGGAGGACTCAGGAGGAGGACTCAGGAGGAGGACTTAGGAGAAATGAGAAGGAGGACTGAGGAGAACTGAGGAGGAGGAGGAGGAGGACTGAATAGGAGGAGGAGAAGGAGGGGGACTGGGAGAGGACTGGGGAGGAGGAGGACTGATGAGAAGGATGAGGAGGAGGACACAGGAGGAGGAGGAGGAGGGCCCAGAAGGAGGACCTAGGAGGAGGAGGAGAACTGAGGAGGATGACTCAGGAGGAGGAAGACTCAGGAGGAGGACTGAGGAGGACTGAGAAGGAGGAGGACTGAGGAGGATGGTTGAGGAGGATGGCTGAGGAGGATGACTGAGAGGGAGGAGGAGGAGGAAGAGGAGGAAGAGGAGGAAGAGGACTGAGGAGGAGGAGGAGAAGGACTGAGGAGGAGAAGGAGGACCCAGGAGGAGGAGGACCCAGGAGGAGGACCCAGGAAAAGGCCCCAGGAGGAGGAGGAGGACTGGGGAGGAGGAGAACTGTTGAGGACTGATGAGGAGGACTGAGGACGAGGAGGAAGAGTAGGAGGAGGACTGAGGAGGGGATGAGGAAGAGGACTGGGGAGGATCAGGAAGACCCAGGAGGACCCAGGAGGAGGAGGAGGACTGAGGAGGACTGAGGAGGACTGACGATGACTGAGAAGGAGGAGGACTGAGGAGTACTGAGAAGGATGGCTGAGGAGGATAGCTGGGGAGGATGGCTGAGGAGGATGACTGAGGAGGATGACTGAGAGGGAGGAGGAGGAGGACTCAGGAGGAGGACTCAGAAGGAAGAGGAGGAGGACTCAGGAGGAGGACTCAGGAGGAAGACTTAGGAGAAATGAGAAGGAGGACTGAGGGGAACTGAGGAGGAGGAGGAGGACTGAATAGGAGGAGGAGAAGGAGGGGGACTGGGAGAGGACTGGGGAGGAGGAGGACTGATGAGAAGGATGAGGAGGAGGACCCAGGAGGAGGAGGACTGAGGACCGAGGAGGAAGAGGAGGAGGATGAAGAGGAGGAGGAGGACCCAAGAGGAGGAGGACTGAGGAGGAGGACTGAGGAGGACTGAGGAGGACTGAGGAGGATAGCTGAGGAGGATGACTGAGAGGGAAGAGGAGGAGGAGGAGGAGGAGGAGGAGGCCTGAATAGGAGGAGGAGGAGGGGACTGGGGGAGGACTGAGGAGGAGGATGGAGGACTGAGGAGAAGGATGAGGAGGAGGACTGAGGAGGACTGAGGACTGCAGAGGAAGAGGAGGAGGATGAAGAGGAGGAGGACCCAGGAGGAGGACCCAGGAGGAGGAGGAGGACTGGGGAGGAGGAGGACTGTTGAGGACTGATGAGGAGGACTGAGGACGAGGAGGAGGAGTAGGAGGAGGACTGAGGAGGGGAGGAGGAAGAGGACTGAGGAAGATCAGGAAGACCCAGGGGGAGGAGGAGGAAGAGTAGGAGGAGGAAGCATCTAAATGTTATTTCCATTTTTGTCCGTTTTTGTCCATTTTTGTCCGTTTTTGTCCGCTCTATTTTTTGTCCGTTTTGAAAATATAGGGTACCGAACGGACAAAAAACATGATCCCCCCTATAACAGCAAAAATTGAACATTTTATTTAGCAATTTAGGTGTCCATTAATGTCCGCCTATGTCCGCCTATGTCCGCCTATGTCCGCCTATGTCCGTCTATGTCCGCCTATGTCCGCCTATGTCCTGTCCTTTTTGGATTCTATGAGACAAGCGGACATAGACGGACGTGACACCCCCCCCCCCCCCCCCCCCCCCGCATATCTACTATCATGTCACCGCATATCTACTAACACCGCATATCTACTAACACCGCATATATCTACTAACACCGCATATCTACTAACACCGCATATCTACTAACACCGCATATCTACTAACACCGCATATCTACTAACACCGCATATCTTTTAACACCGCATATCTACTAACACCGCATATCTACTAACACCGCGAATCTTTTAACACCGCATATATTATATTTTGGCCCTATTTTATTTATATTTTGTATTTACATTTCCCATTAATTGATTACGAGACTAGTTTTCTAAGAGACGTGAACAATACTTAAACTATTGAAGCGTGTGATAAGTACAGATTGTTAACTGATTGTAGAAGTTGAATGTACAGTAATTCATTAACATAAGTAAGCAATGAACATGCACCGTGTACTGTACAAAGTACATTATAGATAGTAGATACCTCCATATACCCATCATTCCTGTCAGTCTAAGGTTTTTTTTTTACAAATGTCTCAGACCCATAGCTAGATCTGTGAATTTTAGGCAGACCCACTCGACAGCGGCCAAATTTTGCGCATTATGAGCCCCAAGCCCGATACCCACTTTGCCTCCCAATTATATTATCATCTCGTAACTTCATAATGAAGGTTCCGTTATTCATTTAAAGATTAAGTTTTTTCGATTCTGGGCACGTAGCCCGACACGACACGTAGCCGGGACGAAGCTCCTTTGGTTGGCTAGGGAGGGGGGAAGGCGCAGCCCCCCAGAAAATTTTTGAGAAATTATGTGTTTTAGACGACATTTGGCATTAAAGAAATTTGTAGGACAGTAATAATCAGACATCACAATAATACAAAGTTGGAGGGCTAGGGGGGCGCAGCCCTGGCCTTCGGAAAATTTTTGAGAAATAGGGTGTTCCAGACGACATTTGTAGGACAGCAATAATCAGACATTACAATAATACAAGGTTGGTGGGCTGGGGGCGCAACCCCCGGAAAATTTTTGAGAAATAGGGTGATTCAGACGACATTTGGCATTAAAGAAATTTGTAGGACAGCAATAATCATACATCAGAATGATACAAAGTTGGTGGGCTAGGGGGGCGCACCCCCCGGAAAATTTTTGAGAAATAGGGTGATTCATACGACATTAGGCATTAAAGAAATTAGTAGGGCAGTAATAATCCTGAGACATCACAATAATATAAAGTTGGTTGGTTAGGGAGGGGGGGGGCGCAGCCAATCAGAAAATTTTTGAGAAATTATGTGTTTTAGACGACATTTGGCATTAAAGAAATTTGTAGGACAGTAATTATAATCAGACATCACAATAATACAGGGTGGCCCAAAAGTGACTACCCACACGCAACCTCTTAATAACTCACGTAATTCGTCTCCAAATTGCACCAAAATTTCAGAGATTATAGATATGGGTCAAACTTAGATTTCCTGAAAGTTTCGTAAGCCACGCCCAATTACAGTGGGCGTGGCGTGACACTCCCTCTTTTTCACTATTGTCTTCATAAAATGAGAACGCTTTAAGCTAAGAACTCCAAATTTTTTGCACACATTTGGCTCGATAATTTAAAACTTTTCCCGAAGTTTCAAGTTCATTGTTCAAAATTTTGCTGAGTTATGATCATTTCAAAATCCATCGGATACGTGATTTTGAAAATCTTGGACCTCTTTTTTTGACGATTTTTCCAGGTCCAAGATTTTCAAAATGGAATAAAAAATGTTTAAAGGCCTATCTCGAAATTCTAAAACGAGCAAACGTTTCTAAATGGTCCTTAGAACATATCCTGAAAGTTTCAAGGTGATTGCTCAAAAACTGTAGGAGGAGATAGATTTTTAGACTCGATTTTCAGGGCGCGCGATTGAAAATCGCTCGCGCAATACAATTACACATGAGCGCTGACCTTTGACTGGCAATAATTTCGTCTAGGAACAAGATTTTTCCATGGGACCAAAAGTAGCAGTAAGATATCACTCCCCTCTATTAGAAACAACTATAAAATCAATTTCGAGAGAAATTTCATAAAGACCCCCCCCTGCCCCCTTAAAGTGCAGACTCAACATTTTGGTTGCCAGACCCACTATTCTAGAGTCCAGACCCACAATTCTGGTTGTCATATCTCCTATATTCTAGTTCATAGACCCCCAATTCTGGTTGACAGAGTGAAGAATTACCATTCTGGTTGCCAGATTCACTCTTCTAGAGAGGAGACCCACTCTTCTAGTAGGTATAGAGTCAAGACCCACTATTCTAAAATGCAGACCCACCATTCTGGTTGCCAGACCCACTCTTCTAAGGCGAAGACCTACCATTCTGGTTGCCAGCCCCACTCTTCTAGAGTTTAGACGCACCATTCCGATTGCCAGACCCACTATTCTTGAGTGAAGACCCACCTTTCGGGTTGCCGGACCCACTATTCTAGACTCTAGACTCCAGACGCACAATTCTGGTTGCCATATATCCTATATTCTAGTTTAGACCCCCCAATTCTGGTTGACACTTGACAGAGTGTAGACTTACCATTCTGGTTGCCAGACCCACTCTTCTAGAGTGAAGACCCACTATTCTAGAATTCTTACCCACCATTCTTGTTGCCAGACCAACTCTTAGCTAGAGTGAAGACCCACTATTCAAGAATTCTGACCCACTATTCTTGTTTCCAGATCCACTACCCTAAGGTGCAGACCCACCATTCTGATTGCCAGACTCACTCATCTTGATTCCCTTGATTGCAGACCCACTATTCTGGTTTCCAGACCCACTCTTATAGATTGCAGACACACCAATCTAGTTGCCAGACCCACTCTTCTAAAGTGTAGACCCACCAGACCTATTATTCTAGAGTGAAGACCCACAATTCGGGTTGTCCAAACCCACATTTCTGGTAGCCATATCTCCTATATTCTAGTTTATAGACCCCCAAATCTGGTTGACAGAGTGTAGACTTACCATTCTGGTTGCCAGGCCCACTCTTCTAGAGTGAAGATCCACTATTCTAGAATGCAGACCCGCAATTCTGGTTGCCAGACCCACTATTCCAGATTGTAGACCCACCTTTCTGGTTTCCAGACTCACCCTTCTAGGGCGAAAATCCACCATTTTGGTTGCCAGACCCACTCTTCTAGAGTGTAGACGTACCATTCTGATTGCCAGACCCACTCTTCAAGGGTGCAGACCCACATTCATGTTGCAAGACCCACTTCTAGATTTCAGACCCACTATTCTAGCTGCCAGACTCACTTATAGATTGCAGACCCACCATTCCAGCTGACAGACCCACTCTTCTCAAGTGAAGATCCACCATTCTGGCTGCAAGACCCACTTTTAGATCGCAGACCTACCATTCTAGCCGCCAGACCAACTCTTCTCAAGTGTAGACCCACCACTCGGGTTGTCAGACTCACTCTTCAAGGGTGTACGTACACCCACCATTCTGTTTGCCAGACCAACTTCTAGATTGCAGACCCACCATTCCAGCTGCCAGACCCACTCTTCTCAAGTCCAGACCCACCACTCTGGTTGTCAGACCCACTCTTCAAGGGTGTACGTACACCCACCATTCTGGTTGCCAGACCAACTTCTAGATTGCAGACCCACCATTCCAGCTGCCAGACCCACTCTTCTCAAGTCCAGACCCACCACTCGGGTTGTCAGACCCACTCTTCAAGGGTGTACGTACACCTACCATTCTGGTTGCCAGACAAACTTCTAGATTGCAGACCCACCATTCCAGCTGCCAGACCCACTCTTCTCAAGTGCAGACCCACCACTCGGGTTGTCAGACCCACTCTTTAAGGGTGCAGACTGCAGACCCACCGTTCTGGTTGCCAGACCCACTTATAGATTGCAGACCCAACATTCTAGCTGCCAGACCCACTCTTCTCAAGTGTAGACCCACCACTCTGGTTGTCAGAACCACTCTTGAAGCCTGAAGGGTGCAGACCCACCATTCTGGTTGCCGGACCAACTTCTAGATTGCAGACCCACCATTCCAGCTAACAGACCCACACTTCTCAAGTGCAGATCTACCACTCTGGTTGTCAGACCCACTCTTTAAGCCTGAAGGGTGCAGACCCACCATTCATGTTGCCAGACCCACGTCTAGATTGCAGACCCACCATTCTAACTGCCAGACCCACTTCTAGATTGCAGACCCACCATTCTAGCTGCCAGACCCACTCTTCTCAAGTGCAGACCCACCACACTGGTTGTCAGACCCACTCTTCAAGAATACAAACCCACCATTCTGGTTGCAAGACCCATTTTTAGATCGCAGACCCACCATTCTAGCTGCCAGACCAACTCTTCTCAAGTGTAGACCCACCACCCAGGTTGTCAGACCCACTCTTCAAGGGTGCAGACCCACCACTCTGGTTGTCAGACCCACTCTTCAAGGGTGTACGTACACCCACCATTCTGGTTGCTGGACCCACTTCTAGATTGCAGACCCACCATTCCAGCTGCCAGACCCACTCTTCTCAAGTCCAGACCCACCACTCGGGTTGTCAGACCCACTCTTCAAGGGTGTACGTACACCCACCATTCTGGTTGCCAGACCAACTTCTAGATTGCAGACCCACCATTCCAGCTGCCAGACCCACTTCTAGATTGCAGACCCACCATTCTAGCGGCCAGACCCACTCTTCTCAAGTGCAGACCTACCACTCTAGGCAACAGGGGTGAATAATATCAACAAATAAAGATTGTTTAATTTTTGCAAAAAATTTCTCGTCATGTGACAACCCTTCCCAACCCCCCTCAACCCCCTACCCCTCCCCCCTAAAAAACTCATCGGATTTTTGCTTCCCGCGAACATGATTTTTTCTGAAAATTTTAGTCAAGCCAGATCTGTAAATCTATCAAATATGTAAAAAAAAAACCTTACCTGTCACATACCAATCATTCCTGTCAGCAACTTGCACAGCTTACAGATACCACCACTTTATACTTTAGGTTCTACAGTCTATAGACTATTCTGTGCTTGGTTTCTTTGGTGTATTTACTATTTACCCCTATTAATAACATAACATAACCCTATTTAAACTATTATCAAGTATTAACTCTATTTAAACCTGATGATTACCGTATAACTTACTCTTATCTGTTATACTGGATGATAATGAACAGGGTGTTTTTTATTGGGTTTATTGTACAGGGTCTGTAATATTTACAGATCATTGTAACTGACAATTTAAGTTACAACACGACTCGTGTTGTAACTTTGTAACTTAAATTGTCAGTTACACGAGCAATCATCACTGTTATTGGCCAGTCTTAAAGCTGATAAGTGGATGACCTGCAATCATGGGATAATTTCTTGAAAGCTTGTTTGAGACCCATTATCGAACACTAATTCCGTGGTTCAGTTTAGGGAACTCATTTATCATTTGGTGGATGCTAAGAAATAATATGAAGAATTTAAAACCTAACCAAAGTTTTGAAATTCCGTACGATGGAGGTACGTGACCCAATTAAATATTTTAAACTTACTTGGTACGACCCAATTAAAGTCTCCATTTTCAACACTCTCGTAATGTTCGTACTCGTCAACGTCGAACGTCGTAAAATCTAAAAACTTTGACTTGAACGCCTGAAAATTAAATAAACATTAGTGTTGGATTACTTGGTAGTTGGGCAGTTGTAGCAGGGACTTAAAATTTAAATCTAAATATGAAGCAAGAGATGAAGAGGTATCTTGCATACCAAATAGAGATCTAGTCTAGTCTAGAAATCTAAAAACATGAATCACATGTAGCAAAAAATGACTAATAAGTCAGTGGTAAGTCAGTGGTAAGTCAGTGGTAAGTCAGTGGTAAGTCAGTGGTAAGTGAGTTGGTAAGTCAGTGGTAAGTCAGTGGTAAGTCAGTGTACCTTATAACAGCCAGCTATCACGTGTTGCACTGTGAGTTTGTAGGTACAGGCCCCGTACGAAGCGTCTCTGAAATAGAAATAGAATTAATAAAATTATAAGTGTGTGCCTTGCCTTGGTTAATAATAGATTCATAGTCGAGATCCTTATGTTAACCAATTAAACCCCAGAATAACTTTCAATTTAGTGTACCAAACCTAACTAAGATCTTTTTATGAGTACTATAAAATTAGGAGGCGTCATATTTTTAATTTAAAAATTGATGAGAACACCATTTATGATGTACTAAAATCACAGTTACAATCTTAGATTCTGTATTTCTCATATTTGTAATATTGGCACCTAGTGATCTGGCAGTATTTCTGTAATTGGATAGCAGGAGTTTACCAAAAAACTGTCCTATCTAGATTCTAGAGCTTTCCGTAGAAGCGAACACTATGATTTGAGTAGGTAAATTTGAGGTGCCCGTTTTCTGAGCTACCCAAATAAGGAGAGTATCGTATCAGACAATCACATTACAGAGGTTTTTCACATTACGCTAATCAAATGGAGAGTTGAGTAAATTTCCAGTGTTTCTCGGGAATCGTAATGTAGAAATTGTAATCTAGAAACTTGCAGAGTTAAAATTATTGAACATTACACAAAGAGGTTATATGGAAGATTTATTTTTGTCTTTAATTCAGAGGGTAACTGTGATCTTTCAGCATCAGTTCTCAATAACAGCATAACCTTCTGATTTATTGAGATTCTTGTGCAATATCCCAATTTACCATAACATATCTTACATCAGCATGATGTCTTAGTTGACAACTATCAACTACAATATCAACCTTTCAAGAGCAACTATCAATATTCTCCATGCTTAAATCTATTTAACTGACTCATGTCATCTCACTGTAATTACTCAATACACACTTTGAGTATTCAGTAAACTTAAAAACAATCTCCCTCGCATGCTTCCTACGCTCACTTCCTCCGCGCATCATGATTGTAAGAAAATAATTATAAATTATAAACAATGTTCCTCACGATGGTTTTACAGATTTTTACATTCTCAATCGAGCACTACTTTTTCAAAGGTGGTTCTAAGTAACAAAGCTGGTCAGCTCCTACCGCAAGCATCCTTTGTAAAGTACAATTATTGTTATTGCATGATAAAGTGTATGCATGAAATACGAGCTATTATATTATCTAAAGCATGATGTGCTTCCTGACAAAAATTAATTCCGACTTGAAAGGCCTTTGAAGCTGATTTCCAAAGCATAGTATTAATTTTTGCAGTTTCGCAAGAATTATATTTTAGATGTTATAATGATGATTTAATAGGCCGATAATATCGTCTTTACGAATGGTATCTCAAGCATATGATTTTACAGTCTTAGCTCAGCTGCTCAGAGGGTCAAAATATATTATTCAGAGATATAAAATTGTGTGTGCAGAGCATGTAAGTGATTGGTGACATCGTATCTTGATAGTGATACACGGTCAACTCTACAACAAGATCATATCACATCAATCTGTTGTCCTAATTGAGATAATATGAGGTTACGCATACCATAAATTGAGGAGAAATGTATTATTATATAGCACCTCACGCTTATCAATATTAACATTTCCATTTTAGATCGCAGATTACAAATACATGTACTTTCTGATATAATTATAACTCGATACAAACAATCTCCAAATCATATTATCAGTATAATAGGCATTGTTTTAGCCAGAAAGGTATGTTACACTATTAACTAATATAGAGCAAGCTTACGTCTACTTTCACATCAAATTTGACAGCTATAAAAAGATGACAAAAATTTAATCGCAGATTATATCATAAAAGGACATTGTGAGATGGTGGCAGATACAGCTTATTCAAGAAATACAGTCTCCTTGAAGAATACTTCACGTTCCCACAGATCTAGGTATTTTTTTTACGGTACCAACTGAAACTAAAATAAACCCTACCTGAAAGCGTAGAACTGGTGCCCCTTGCCGTTCCTGAAAGGAGCGAAGGCCTCCTCGGGCGTCTTGTTGAGGTAGATTACCGCGTAACAGCAGATCAAACAGGCGGCGTTGGCGCGCTTACGCGCGTCGTAACTCGTGTAGTGGATAAGCTTCCTGCCCCGCAGAGTTGGAGACTGAAGTGAGGAGGATATTGTAAATGTGGGTTATCATTTACCCCCCCCCCCCCCCCCATCATGAGTCATGAGATGTTAACTTATGGCCGGGGTTGATGTTTGAACATTTGTGCAAAACCGGTCATTAACAAATAACCCTCTCATAACGTGTTTCCTTTTCAGTTCTATTTGTGATTCAGAAGAAAATGTTGGTTAAAACTACCTAACATTACAATAATTACTAATTACTAAAGTTACAATACCTTTAATTTTTTGTTAACTTTCACACAATACCGATATAACATCGCTAAATTGAGAGGTCCAAAGTCTGCGTAAAATCTGAAAAGATATGAAATTATATACGTAAAACGTTATAGGTCGCTGTCACATTCTGTGAGTGAACTTATTAATATTATCAGTATTAAGAATACGATTTTTACTAAAGTTAACTAAAGTTTAATGTGCAGACTTGAATTTTAACAATATACATAATATCCCCTCCCATAATCTATAAACAGAGTAACATTACAGATACTGTACACAGAAACCATATACCAGTGATGAATTGTGCAACGTGTACACTATGTTGACGTATATTCAGAACGGCGATAGTATAATACGCACTATTACATATCGTGTGATCCCAACACGCATACCCTCACCAGTAATCAATGTATTGTGGATATCATTAGAAGATGAACGCTTTACTGAGCGCCGTTCAAACCAGCCGGTGATGTGATTGGTTTATTTAAAACTTCCGTTAGCCAATCAGAGGCTGTGATGTGGCCCACGTGTTAAGCTGATGAAAGGGAGTGATATGTCGAGTACTTTGTTGGGTTTATTGGGTGTCATTAGTTGACTGTGTCCACATTGCACTGACCATGACAAGCATTACAGTGCATGAAACTGTACGTGACATGTGAAGATACCTGGTATCTGAGCACTGTAAAAAACGCAGGGAAATCCCCGTGTCAAAAACACCCAATAATACTTGTTGTTATTTTCAATATGATCAGTGCAGGAGTGAATATTAGATTGTCAAACCATTTTAACTAGATTAGCGAAGGGGTGGTAATGAAGCTATAAAAGTAAACTCGGAGGGTTTCTAAAAATTGGAAATGGCTTCACGGTGACAAAGTGTAGATTGTACTAATACGGAGGCCATGCAATACAACTAGCACAAACTATAACACAAACTAGAATTATAAATTATACAATTAGGAACCAGACTTAGGAGGAGAACCTTGGGTGATTCATTAATAAATAATGAACTTATGAGCCAACTAATTATTATTAACCAATCAGCAAGTTAAGAACTCACGGCTGATAAACGAACTCCTCATCGATAGTGAAGAAGTACATGGACTGTTTCTGTCGAGGTTTTGAACGGAACGTAGCAAAATACAGTCTGTCTGCAGTGATTTATTGTGTTATAAATTAAATATCTTCCTAAATAAAAACATGAACTGGAGAAATGAAATTAACTAGAACAGAAATTTAATGTTTGATCAAAATCTCCTCAATGAGTAACCGATTGAAATACCTTTAATAAATTCCTGAGCATCAATAATCTCCCTGCCATCCCTGTCCACTGTAGCAAATGTCATGTTCATACTGTTAAAGTATCCTCGCAAATGTCTCTGTAGCTCTGCGAGTGCTATCAACTGATCTGTAAAGTTGTGCTATCAGCCACCAACAGATGCGAGGAGGCAATGTGATTTTATAGCTTGATAATTTATAAATTTTACAGCAATTTTAGACTTACATTTACATGACGTACAAGAGGTGATACAAGAGGTGATGGGTAAAATATTATGTGTTCTGAATAAGATTAACCCTGATTGGGTACGGAATATAAACGAACTACACTGCCAGAGAACACACTATTCGTTATCAGTAAAAGTAGTAACAGTGATCTGAGTAGTCGGGATTGAAGACTAGAAAACATATCGCATTTGAGGGGGGCCATGATAATATTTTTTTGTCAAATATCAGTAAAAACAGGTATGCCCCCCTCTTTTATGTATCTGTAGCATATAACGAAGCTTTTAAATATATTATAAAAAATCTGTTGAAGCTGAAACATTCGTCATATCAAGTGAATCCACGCCAACAAGGCACGTACGTATAATACTAACCTATCACAGCACTTTATAAATGTCACGTGATTATTTCTAACCTATCACAGTGCTCGATCTATACCACGTATATTACCTGTTAAAGTAGATGAGAAAAGTCACGTGGGATGTCACGTGAGAGCTTTAAGTGTGTGTCATTTCAGGGAATACTACGTTTCTGATGTTGTGTGGTCCTCATTTTGTTACTCCTTTCATCCTAACAATGAGTTTTAAAGTGAGGTATTGGTTTGATAAACTACAGGTCATTACTTTTCAGTACAGGTAAGATGTTAATATATAAATTATTGAAACGATGTTTGGAATTATTTTTGTCGCTCTGAACGATTATTCTAGTACGATGGATTGGTAGTAAATAAAAACACAGTGAATTAGATCGAACTTGAAAAAATAACTTATCAAGAAGACAACAAAATGCACATGTTATTCTGTAACATTCATTATTTAACACTTAAATATTTAAATTTATACATGTAAATTGTAATTCTGAATATCAATAAATGTGCTATAGATAAGAACAAATAAAGAGAATATATTAGAATTTTGTGTATAAATGGCCACATCACCCAAACACATAAATAAACTATAGTCGAAATGAAAACAAGTGAAAATCTTAAAAACAGAATTCAACAACCCCAGCAAAGCCTCAAATCCCGTCTGCTGCTCACAACAAGAACAATTTAGCAGCCCAGAATATCCTCACACATAATTACTAACACGCACAAAACATCACCCACAAGAGAAGACTAACAAGATAGGAAGACTGCAAACGACCCCCAACAAGTGTTACCAGGGATTTCAAATACAATTACTTGGCATTAGCCGTGCACAATTGTCAGAGTAACACCAGTGTTACGTTACATAATATGGACACCCCCTTAACAGTGCATGCTGTATTACTCACTGGACGCCTTGTTCCTACCTTACACTGACATTTTAGGTATTTTTAAACAGCCTATAAATAATCTAATACTATCTTTATAACCACATGATAGGGCAGCTGCAGGGGATTGTTATACTGTGCCGTGTGACTAACGTGCCGTGTGACTAACGTGCCGTTAAATGGTTCATTATGTCACACTACATGTACTGTTCATTTCAATGAAATGTTTGATAGTCCTCTTAAAATTTGGGAAATAAAGGGGAGAATAATTGTTTATACTATTAATGGTACTGGTAATTAGTGGTATTGGTAAATGGTAACTTTAACTGGTACTGGTAACATAAGTAATATTACCCTAGAATTAATCATTATGCTTCATCATTGGCAAAGTCAAGGGTATAGTCCAGTGTGTATTATGGAATTTACTTGGTATCAGAATAAATCAATTAAGATTACAGTAATGCAGATAATTTAGAATTAAAGATATATAACGAAATAACGCAAAAAAAACACGAAAAGCTAGAAAGAAGGTACAAATTCTGTAACAAAGCAGTAAAAAATCAAACAAAATTATTAAACAAAGGTATTGAACGCACCCTAAAACACTAAAACATTAAAACTTTCTCAGTTGTTGAGTAGAAAGGCAGCAATGTAACACAAAGTTTATAAAACAAAAAGTAATGAACCACAGCAAACGATTATAATATCCTACAGCCACAACCATAATATCTATTCATTTCATCAGTGGGCAGGTCTTAAAAACAAACTACGACATTAAAATTCTCGTGCATGATATGATCGGCAGCTCTTAAACTTCTTGTAGAGTGACTTATCGATATTTTTAATAATCTACGTCCGCGTCAGGAGTATAATACAGTACTTATTAAATTTGACGATGATTCAGATAAATGAAAGATGGAACTGAATGATATATTTTTAATCTCTACCTATGATTACTTAAATAAAAATAATAATATGACTACTGATCAAAAACCTTTTAAAGAGCGAGATTATAATATCTAGTGCAGTGGTTTGATTAGTTGTTTTTCTGGAAAGTTAATCAAAATGCATTTTATCGTGCAGAATTAACATTTAACATCCATGATCACACAGGCGTTAAAGTTTACTTGTAAAATTCGACAGGGAATTCGTCGAAATGTTACAACCTCAGATTCCATTAAATCAATACAAACCGAACATCTAATTTATTTCATGGCTTCTGGTTTGTCGAAAGGTTTTCATCAGATCGTTACCTAACCACTTACAGAAACGTCTGAACACCTCGCAAGGCATCAGATACATAAGGAGGATCACGTAGTTGGTGGCACGTGGTAAGATCACCTCGTTTCTCTCCTCTCTGGTGGCTGCGACGATCTGATCCGCTACCCAAACAGGATCCAGCAAGGGGAACAGTAATGGAAGCTTGACTGTAGCTCCTCTTACAAGACCAGTATCTGTGAAATGTGGAAAGACGGTGGTGATTTTAACGTGCTTGATTCCCATGTGCTCGAGATCGTACAAGAGGGTTCGACTGAAGCCGGTTACTGCGTGTTTTGCTGTGCAGTAATCAGTCATGAAGGGGGCTCCGATTTGGCCAGCCACTGAGCCTGTGAAGATAAGATGACCTCCATTTTCTATAATGCCGTCTAAAAAGATCTTAGTGATATGCATGACTCCCATGATATTCACATTCATTGTTAGATCCATCTCTTTGATAGAAGTTTCAGGAAACAGTTTGCCAATAATGATACCGGCATTGTTGAACAGATAGTCAATTTTTGGACAGTTTCCCATAACTTTTTCATTCATTTCTATGATGGAATCAAGCTTAGAGACATCGCAAGAGTAGGTATAAACTGTGCAATCTTTGGCCGCAAAATCTTTGATATTTTCTTCGTTCGTTTCTGAATTTATATCCACCAAATGCAAAGTATTTCCACTATTAGCCAAATTAGAAGCCAACATTTTGCCAATTCCTTGGCCAGCCCCAGTAATTAAGATGTGAGCATTTTTAATTTCTTTTTTAGGCCTATTCCTTGAGATCAAGTAGACAAATTCCCAAAACACAGTCCATGTATATAGCCATAAGAACTCCAGAAACTCAAGAAGGAACTCGAATATGAACATATGAGCTATCAAAATATATGTTACTAAAAGAAATGTACCTCGTTAAGAAATAAAATAATGTGGTTGTCAAACGATGATATTTTCAGAGGCACCAATAACAGAAGAAACGGAAAATAAATTGGACGTTTATCTGTCTTAGGCATCGACGAATTACAGCGCGGCCGCCATGAAGTAACCAGGCCAAAGGTTTCTACGATAGAACGAACAAATGAGAAGTCACTTTGAGGAGAAAAAATATTTTGCAAACGGTGCGGAAACTGTAACAATCGGTACAGGATCAGCGACAACAACTCCAAACTACAATATAGAGGGTTAAGGACATGGATCACATTCTTACCTTTCAAACAGAAGTACGAAATATTGTCTCCGCAATCAATCCGCTGGCGTGATCGCCTGAAAGTATCGCCTGGAAGTCGCTGCGCGGCTTGGTTAGTTGCAGAGTGCATGATATTTGATATTGTCAGATTGAAGTATAAAAAATTAATTTTCTTTGATACTAAAACTGACAGTCAATTCAAAATTTAAAGATAAAATTATAATCATATTTTGAGGCTAAGAATAATTCTAAATTATAGAGTTTAGCTTTGCTGTTATGTTGATTTTGCATATTTAAAAAATTTAATGCAATCACAAATCAGCAATGCGCGCACAATTTCACATTTTGAATTTCAACTTATTGTTAATGAATTCAATCAAATCCCAATTATAAACTTTGCTAGTTGAATAAAATCCGGATAACATTGGATTGATGATTGATGTCCATGTTTTTCCTTTTTCATTTTTTCGTTAATTGTAGCTCCATTGCATTTTCATCTATAATGCATGCGCGGTGCAAACCTAACCAGTACACAGTATATATAATAAATGCATTGCTATTATATGATATTATGATATTATGTATTATGATATCACATATCATACATTGTGCATATGAATATATAATTTTTGTGTAATGTTGACATTGGTGCTATGATTTAAATCCAAAAATCCTTATTGGCTGATTAGATCAGTGATCATGCAAACTACAAACTTGTAACCACTTCCCCGTGATCAGTGATCACTACACATAATTCCAGATTTCTGATTACATGGCTAACAAAATGCCAAATAAGTTGCGAGTTACAATTAATATAACAACTGAATTATGAATTAGCTTGAAAAAATAATTTTTTTTAAGTTCCCCTGGGGGTTGGAGGACTTTGCCGAATGCCGCTTCAACACACCGCTTCAACTATTATTCTTGCTTCGCATCGAATTATAATTTTTGCTTCGCATCAACTGTCAACCCGTGGGGGAAGTGGAGAGGCGGCAACATTTTTTAATGATTTTAAAAGTTAATTGTTAGTTATTAAGTGCATAGTCAATAGTGTGACTAAATCGTTGATTTTTGGTATACAGATCTAAAATTATATTATATGTTGATAAAAGTTATTCGAATATCAAATATAGATTGTTACAGTGTGCAGTGGAAAAATGCAAACGATTATTTACCTTGGGACCTCAGTTTAATATATTTATGTTCATAAGCACCGAATAGAGATTAGGCGGAATGACAGGCTGAGCGCCGCCCAGTAAATAAGCTTACATGTTACAATCATCAATCCACAATCATTTATTATATTTGATTTACGATGTCAATCCTTCGCATCTCGCTGATCTGCATACGTGGTTGCTTACTGGGCCACGCTCAGCCTGTCATTCCGCCGAATCTCTATTCATATATGATTATGAACATAAATATAATTGCCTGAGGTTTCCAGATAAGTGGTAAGTGGTTGCGAGAAGATGCGCGACTGACTTTACGCCGCGCGCAAAATTATCAAATACTGAACACTTTACCATCGATACGTACAAGGGCAATATTTAGCGTTGGATAACATATCGCGTTATTTTCCAATTTGGTATTACCATTGGACAATACGAACCGCCTGATACCCACGTGATTTACGGCCGTCACTAATTCTTCTTTGTTGTAATTGTTGTGTGTTAAGATTTGATGCTTTATTCGTTTGGGAGCGCAGCCCAACTTTGGTTTCCGTATTTAAAATTGTAGTGTAAAGTTACTATTAAGTAGACCAGACGGCGCCATCTCTACCAATGTCTTGCATTTCACCCTCTGTGAATGACAAGAAATTGGGAAACCTTTATTGTGATTCTATCTTTAGAATTTGAAGTTATTTAATTGCTTTTGGAGTATTTTTTCGTATGCACTCAGCAAATGTTTAACATTAATTAATTAATTAAATTATTAATCGTCTCTGAAATAATGTAGCCGAACTGATTGAAGCTGTAAAACACTCTGCTTAATGCTCTTGATTATTCTTACGTTAGCTTTTTGTTTTAATCCACTTGGTGTTAAGGCATTGTATTGTCAATTTCTAATTTGTTTGTGATCGATTACAAAGTTTGAGGTGCCGAAGAACATAATACAAATACAGTTGCTAGAGCTAGAATACGCCATTCTATTGTGTAAGAAAATTAACTATTATTTGACAAACATTGTTTTTGAAACTTCACAATTGATCGACAGTAAAAGTATGAATGGTACCCAAGGTTGAATACTCATGTAAATAATCGCTCTCTTGGATTGCAGGGAATCCGATTTATAACATCAATTTTATTTGGTATCTATTAAGTTGAGAACTACGTAGGTTGACAGAACACCTACAAATGAGTACTCAGATATTTCAATTCCGATCGAGCACTGAAATCGAAAGTCAAACTGTCTCTTAAAATTATATAACCCCTTTTATCTCAGTGCATTTTCATTGCTTATTTAGTTACGACCAAGCTATGTTTGTCTGGTTGATACATTCTTAGTGTTTTGCTTTTGACCTGTAATGTTAGATTTTCAGGAAGATAAGCAACATGTTGATAAGACAAGCCCACATCTTAAAGTATATTTTCTTAACAAACATTCTTCTAGTGGATAATTAGAATCTCGTGCATTCTTTGAGCGTTTGTAACCATTTTTTTGTACGTGATACTTCAGTTGGAATTTTGCCAATTTTCATAAATATTCCCTTTTTTTCGTGAATGATTTTAAAATGTTACCGATACTGCCAAAAAAGATATCGGAATGAAAATGGACACAACTTTGGAGTTACGTGCTGATATTAAAGTTGATTTCCTTATCCCCAGTTGAAACCTTTTTGGTCCCCTGCCTCTTACCCTTTCTAAGCGTTCTTTTCATTTTCCAATCCTCGACAAATAAATTGTTGCTGATCATTTTGTTCATGATTTTTATACCGCGTCGGTGTTCAAGAATTCAGCACCTTAGTAGTTGACCTTGTTCATAGACACTGCATACGTTCCTCGTTTAAATAATTTGTTTGTTAACTGAGATCCTGATAAGAACGGTTTGGAACTACCTTCTGCGTGTCTCGCTAGGAACAGACATGAACTAAATATGTACAGCATTTCAACCTTCACTGCATTTTAAGTATGTTGAGTAGATCGATTAATGTATGATGTACTTCAACTCGAAATTTCGTAAATTTTTTACATGCATCCCTTAGTCGGTAATATAACGGGGGGGGGGGGGGGGGGGGGGGGGGAATTATGGGTGTTTAAAATATGGACTGTTATAAATATGGTTCTTTGGCCCGTAAAGAACCAAATTTGACCACCCACAATTTTGACTGCGACTTTCCTTTCGTGAAAAAAGCTCAAATCGAATTGAACACTACAGCGAAACAGCTGCTGCTGAACTTGTATTATTCATCTGAAGTTGCTGATCTGAAATTTAAATTGAAATTGTTCCTAGTTAACCCCTCAAATTGAAAGGATGGGGGAATAGTAGATAAACCGGACTTTTTGAACCAGAACTAGCTTCAATTCAGCAAACCATAACGTAAGCATACTTCTGGACGTGAATGAAAGAAACGTTAAGCATATTATGACTGATATACCAAAAGGTACACCAAAATTTGACTCGGTGGGTTAAATTTTGGGGGGTAAAAAATATGGACTGTTATAAATATGGTTCTTTGGCCCGAAAAGGACCAAATTAGACCCCCCATAATATTACCGACTAAGGTAATATGCGAAAGACAAAAGTTAAAGAAAGTGGAAAATAAAAGATCCGATGCAGACATTTTTATACTCACTCTTACATTGGCCTATGGATTTGTAAATATACCTTACATTGCAAGACAGTTCAATCTTTGCAACCCCTTTCTGTATCATAGTCATTCTCACTTACAAACAATGGAGCACCACATTTAACACGGGACATTACTTACAGCGATGAATTCATTCAACTTGATGTACAGTTGCAACAACCAAGAAACAGTTGGTAACCTGCACGAAGCAGAGCGGTTGATGAATTTATCGATCTCCAAGTTTCAGATGGCCTGCCAACACGATTTACCCCTCCGTCGGTCCCTTCTTATCGCCTCAGTTCTGAACCGTGCGCAACGCGCTGCGGCAGATGCCATCGCCTCCTTGGACTGCTCAAAACCTCCTCCCCCGGCCTGCCACTCAGCTAATTTCCTTCCTTTCAAATCAGATGAACACTTGAACGAGGACATCGAGATGCACATTTTAGGGAATGATCTCTTATCGGAAATCTTGTGTGCGGACGAGAAACCCAGCGCAGAATTCGATCAGTTAGCCGTGGATCAGTCAGATAACCTCCGGAAGAGGCCGCGAGAATCCGTCGTGATGGAAAGCGTTAAACCGCCTCCGATCAGCGAACTCCACGACAGCAAGCGACTGAAGGAAACGGAGGAACTGAGCGTGCCGCTGTCAGATGACTGGTCGGATCAGTATCCCAGCTACAACACCGACATGTGGACCATGCCCAGCATCTGGACTACTGCCACTCCGGTCGTGTGTTGAAGTGGGGTTACCATGGTTACCATGCTGGTGTGCCCCCCTTCGGTACCGATCAGAGTTTGGAAAATTTAACAGCGACTGTTTTTATTGAGACATTTTTAATGAATTGTTGTGTCTTGATAATATATTATAATGTATTGAGTGCAGAGCTTTGGAGGTTAATTTTAATTGGTATTTGAACTTTTTAAGATTATAAAATGTATATTTTCACGCTGGTGCTTGCGTGGAAAAGTTTGCCTCTTTAAGTCCGATTTGCCTTCGGACATATTCTCAGTTTCCATGACTACTGTTTACGGTCATCCTTTTTAAGTTTTTAAGAGAGTTTTGAAGTGAAATATATATTCAACTCAGTTGTAATTGATTCAGTTAATTCATTATGTATTAGGTTTAAGGGCTGCATATCCCGTAAGTATAATATTTATTAATGTCTAGTTAAAATAACGTATCCTTCGGTGACTACTTTCAGGTTAATGATTTGCAATTGATTCACTTTTCATTCTACAATGATAATTTGATTTAAATCATCTGTTAAGTTTATATACTCTAAATAAAAATTCTAGTTATCTTTGTAAAAGACTTTACGATTTACTGAATGAAATATCCTAATACGTGCACGTGGCCCCTGTTAACTCTAAAAATGCCGGTATTTTATTTAAATAATGCGATTAAAATACCAGCTGACTCGTCAAATTATTGTTATTACTTTCACAGTTTTTTCATGTTTAGTTAAGAATCTTTGAGATTCACTTTTAGGTTTAGTTTTATTAGGATGTTAGCATTGCTTGCTAGGAGCTATCTTGTGTTAAGATATTGTATTTTGAGTGTACGCGGGGGCCCTGCACGTAATTTTTTATTTTTGTAGCTAAAATATATAGCTCGATGTGTGTTTGATATAATGTACAGAAAGTGTCGTAAGAGCTACGTGATATTAGTTTCCTAGGCTACAAATTGTCACCACAGCAACACCCTAGCAACCACTATGACAGACTCGAATCTCCGAATGACCCATAAACCATACTGTCATCAGGTTACAAAGTAATAATCTTACCGTAAAAGTATTATCTACTAGATAGTTAATTGATATTAACTATAAAGTGTCGATATTCTACCCAAGCTTTCAAAAACTTTCTAGGGTGTTGCTGAAGACGAATTTGACTAAAATGTTAAGCTAATTTATAATGAGATATGGTTTTTAAATTATGATATCACTTATCGGTATATGATATAATTAGCATCTTTTTTTGCTGGCACAAATATCTCGGTGGCTTGATAATTTGCAATCAAATCAGATTGAGTATGTTATTTGCTAGACCAGAATCTGAACCGCCATCTTGAAAAATATCTGAAAATGTGCAGGTAATAACATTCTAGAACAGAAGGACACACACACGATACTGAGGCCTCTAAATTTGGAAAGTTTAAAAACTAAAAACACGTACGTTTCCCGCATTACCCCAGCGGTGTGTAACATGACTCTCGGTTTTTCTCTACAGTACACTGAACACTGTACACTTCAGCTATTACATGGAGATACCACACAGTGCCGGAAATAGTGTGAAATTGCGTGGTTATACACCACACACAATACACTCTACACCAGTACAGTCTGGTACACCTGTAACACGCCGTACTAGTGTACTACAATGTATACTGCAGAGCTGACTAATGTAATTGTAGTCTGGGTCTGATATTTAATATTTATGTGCACTTGAAATGTAATCAGTGTGAGCTGTCTACTTATATGTACACTCAGTCGTCTACTGTTAACATTGCATACTCGCCTTCAGTCTACAGTCTACACACTAGAGCTAAGTCTACACACCACAGTCTACACACTAGAGCTAAGTCTACACACTACAGTCTACACACTAGAGCTAAGTCTACACACTACAGTCTACACACTAGAGCTAAGTCTACACACTACAGTCTACACACTAGAGCTAAGTCTACACATGCTATAATGTTGTGTAACCTCTCTCTCCCTAAATCTGGTTCTGTATTCTACTTCCTTCGGTTAGGTGGGCTGAAATCCCCCACCTAACCGACTCAAAGTAACATTACAGTAGGAAGCGAATACCAAATTACCTGCCGCGATTACACGCTGTGTGATATCGTGATAAGCTCTTATATTATGTCCTTCTGTTAATGAATAATTGTTATCTGCACAAGTAAGGGGAAAATCTTTCTCAGGATTTCCCCCTTTAATATAAAGAACAGCAAGCAAATAAATCTCGATAGCTTGACCATTAACATCAATTATTGGCTTCTTTCAAACTATTAAGTTACTTAACAGTTCATTCATCACTTTCTAACACCACCTGGCTATCACCGTATAGTTCCTTTCTTCCATAGTCAACAGCGTGCAATAAACTCAGTATTTCACTTTCTTTCACTTTCACTTTCACTATGGTGTCCTGAGCGTGAACTACAAAATGTATACAATGTACACGATATAGAGAGAGCAAGTCAGTGCTCAATACACCCCGAAAGAGACCCCTCATTAATCACGCTGCTACTTACCCCAGATGTTTATGTGGCGCGAGTCTCCACTTGCAGGCCTACTTCAGCTGTGTGATTTGTGTTCAGGAGTAGTCAAATTAATCCCACGATCTAGGTCGTGAGATTGGGGAGTGAGCTGGTGATTGAGAACTGATTTATATTATTGAGAACTGATAACCACTTTCGAAGTTGCTATTAATTAGGGTAGTGGGTAAAGGTTGAGTAGAAATAATTTGGTTGAACAGAATAAATCTCCTTATAAACATTTACAAAATCTTTCCAACGAGCCTTTTTGAATTATGGGCATGCTTGTCCTTTATCTGTTCAAATAGGTTCCTTGTAAAGACTTTGGCTTTAACTTGAACTCAAATGATAAACCGAAGGCTCTTCCTAATACTAGGCTCCTAAAAGCTAAATCCTAGGTTCCCTTATAAAACCTAAATCCTAGGTTCCCTCCGTAAAATGTACCCGTTTAACCGCATTCCTGTCATGCCGCGACCTGGCAAGTGTTGACAAGGGTCCGTATATCCAGCACCGCCATATATGGTTTGGTATTTGGCACGGTACTCTCGTTGGAATTTGGCGCAAGTGCAAGTGTATTACATTGGTGGCGGCAATTGAACCACCCTTCACATTCAGGACACTGGTGATTTCACTGCACATTTCATTTACTCTATCATTAAAACGTTAACTGAAGGCTCTAACGCATCACAAACGTTACCATGGTTACGATGTTACGGTCACATATAATTGTTACCATGGTTACCGTGTAACGCTCCTTTAATTGCTGTTCTGGGTTTTAATTAAATACTATTCTGGTTTAATTGTTTTGTCATGTGTTAAATTTATACTCTATACGCATAAATTAAAATCTTTGTTTCACTTGTTCTCGTTCATCGGAAATTGTACAAGAAAGTAAAATTGCAAATCAGTGGTAGCTTATTATGAGTCGTGTAATTGGGGAACTGATTTCTCTTGTTAATTGTTGGTCTTATCCCAAAGTGTAGGTTCAAATATTCAAGCTAATAAATTGGCCTCGCTCTAGCTACGACCTGATTCAGCTTGGTCAAATGTAAGAGTATCAAACAGTATAAAATGGTCTTGGCAGGAGTTTATTTCCTTTTGTTAGAGTTGCTTTGGTTGCAAGGATCTCTGTAAGATATGGCATTGGGAGCCCACGCGGTGAAAAAACAACTGAATCTGTAAAGTGTCACGCCGAGTTTAAAGTTTTAGAGGGTGTCAAAGTATTCCCCCGCAGAAGAGTATTTATTCACTGTCCAGTAAATCAGTTCATTAATCATAATTAAATACAAAAGACAGCTGTTCTGGCTTGTATTTGTTGAGGTGGTTTCTAGGAATTTTTTGCTGATCTCAAGATCTCCTTTCCGAACTTGGCTTCCATACTTACTTATAATGAGATGTTCTATCATCTTTCGATGCCTCCTTATTCTCAGTGCACCTTTCCATATTTCCATAATATCGGGATAGGACGTTGCACAGGTGAGAAGTACAGATTTCCGGATCCTTTCAGTTGTGCTGTTTGGTTACCTGTACAAGCTGGTTAAACTCAAGAGAAAAAAATCCGAGGATTGTGACAGGATCGGACGATTGTGTCTTATCAGGAGACAGGATAGTATCAGAGGATTGCGTCTTGTCGGGACATGGTCAGAGGATTGTGTCTTGTCAGGACAGGATCAGAGGATTGTGTCTTGTCAGGATAGGATCAGACGATTGTGTCTTGTCAGGATCAGACGATTGTGTCTTGTTTGGACAGGATCAAAGGATTGTGTCCTGTCAGGATCAGAGGATTGTGTCTTGTCAGGACAGGATCAGAGGATTGTGTCTTGTCAGGATCAGACGATTGTGTCTTGTCAGGATCAGACGATTGTGTCTTGTTTGTACAGGATCAAAGGATTGTGTCCTGTCAGGATCAGAGGATCGTGTCTTGTCAGGACAGGATCGGACGATTGTGTCTTGTTTGGACAGGATCAAAGGATTGTGTCCTGTCAGGATCAGACGATTGTGTCTTGTTTGGACAGGATCAAAGGATTGTGTCCTGTCAGGATCAGAGGGTTGTGTCTTGTCAGGACAGGATCAGAGGATTGTGTCTTGTCAGGATCAGAGGATTGTGTCTTGTCAGGATCAGACGATTGTGTCTTGTTTGGACAGGATCAAAGGATTGTGTCCTGTCAGGATCAGAGGATTGTGTCTTGTCAGGACAGGATCGGACGATTGTGTCTTGTTAGAATAGGATCAGAGGATTGTGTCTTGTCAGGACATGCCCCATTTTAGAAGAAGTGTGCTTGAGAAGATGCCCTGGCGTGACCGGGCAAGTCTATGAGCTACATCACAGCACTTATATCACACACTTCACAGCCTTCGTCCCATTAAGAATATTACTTGTTACAAGGATATAACATGAAATAATGAACTTACAGTACTAGCTATCACAGAGTTATTAAATTAAGTAGTGTAATCTATTTTGGTAGATCTCTGAGAGCATGCCTGATCTGGGTACCCACACTCCCTCTATAAATCAAGTCTAGAACACACTCACAGTGTCCCTAATGAGTTTTACAGCCTTCTCAATCGAATTACCGACAACACTGAAATCTAACCCGACCCAGCTCCTCAAACTTGAGATCACTGGGACCAGTGGAGCCGTCTTATCACGGGATACTCAACTGCTTCTCTGATTGGCTTGTTGAGAGTTTCCGGTGTTTCTATTGGCTGTTGACGGCTGCGGGTGCTGTCGACGTAGTGTTATATTAATGTGCGCTGTTGAGTTGGGCGAGTTGGAAAACTGCCAGATTTGAAAGATCCGGTATTTTTGACATCATTTTTAAACCATGTTATCCTGGATTCCTTTATACAGGAACTAGTTGAGCTACTCGCATATTGTCGGTAGGTACTAAGTTTACACATTAAGTATTGCAGCTAATTTAGAATATTATAATACCTTAACAGTTAAAAGTGTTAGAATAGTGAGCTCCTGTCTCAAATCTCAATGTCAGAATTGTAGTCAATAGGAGGCTCCTGAACAGCTAGCTCCTGAACAGCTAGCTCCTGAACGGCTAGCTCCTGAACAGCTAGCTCCTGAACAGCTAGCTCCTGAACAGCTAGCTCCTGAACAGCTAGCTCCTGAACAGCTAGCTCCTGAACAGCTAGCTCCTGAACAGCTAGCTCCTGAACAGCTAGCTCCTGAACAGCTAGCTCCTGAACAGCTAGCTCCTGAACAGCTAGCTCCTGAACAGCTAGCTCCTGAACAGCTAGCTCCTGAACAGCTAGCTCCTGAACAGCTAGCTCCTGAACAGCTAGCTCCTGAACAGCTAGCTCCTGAACAGCTAGCTCCTGAACAGCTAGCTCCTGAACAGCTAGCTCCTGAACAGCTAGCTCCTGAACAGATAGCTCCTGAACAGATAGCTCCTGAACAGATAGCTCCTGAACAGCTACTGTCTAATTTACTCATGTTCAATAGATGTAAATACTGATGGGGAGATGAGGCATATTTTTTACACGTGACAGTGATTCTGGGGTTTGATTGGTCAATTGCTGTCGCGTGTCGAAAAATTATACTTCACCTCCCCACCAGAATCCACATCTATGATTGTATATACCTTCTCCTGTCTGATGTACTTTACTGAACATGTGGTAACGACATACAGTAAATATTTATGGTATCAAAAAACAACAATCAACATTGGATGTGTTTGTTAACTACCCTGGTATATATTAAGTTGAAATATTCGCATTCTAGAAAGTTGTGTACAATACCATTTGAAATATGGATGTTTAAATGAAATAAAAGGAGAATGTTACCGAAGAACAATAGATAATTTTGATGAAATGGCGACCACTTTTGCAAGATTAATAAACTATTCATCACTGACAATGGAAATGGTGTGTAGTGTGTAGTGTGTAGTGTGTAGTGTGTAGTGTGTAGTGTGTAGTGTGTAGTGTGTAGTGTGTAGTGTGTAGTGTGTAGTGTGTAGTGTGTGGTGTGTGGTGTGTGGTGTGTAGTGTGTGTAGTGTGTGTAGTGTGTAGTGTGTGTAGTGTGCAGTGTGTAGTGTGTAGTGTGTAGTGTGTAGTGTGTAGTGTGTGTAGTGTGTAGTGTGTAGTGTGTAGTGTGTGGTGTGTGGTGTGTAGTGTGTAGTGTGTGTAGTGTGTGTAGTGTGTAGTGTGTAGTGTGTGGTGTGTAGTGTGTAGTGTGTAGTGTGTATTGTGTAGTGTGTAGTGTGTAGTGTGTAGTGATTTACCAGGTTATACGGGGACAGATAATTCTACAGTAAATACATGCAAATGATCAGGGGTATGTCTGTATTTAGCTGTAGTGTGCAGTGTGCAGAATAAAGCGTGTATGATGTGCAGTTAATACTGTCACTTTATAAGAAGTTGATGATCTGTGTTTAAGATAATTGCCGAATATAACACACAATTAAATCACTTTTAGATCACCTCTAGCAATACAAATCACTGCACTAGTTCAGCTCCGTGACCACACCTATCTCCGTGACGTGACCACGCCCATTTGTAGGACAACTCTACAGTGTACTGTATCAGAGTACCGCCAGATGGTATTGAACTTGTTGGACATTTGCCAACATGATCTCTCTGATTACTCTCAGGAACTAAGTAGGATTTCTGGAGTACTTACCAACAGAGTGCTAATTTCACGTACGTGGTTGGATTGTTGTTGAGGTCATCAGTGTACTCTGAAAGGAGTAATATTTCCATGTTTGGATGCTCTTTTTCATTCACTACTACACTTCTTCTACAACTCTCAAATTAGTGCAGCTCACAACCAACAAGATGCTACTTCAAAAGAAGAGCTTCAGAGGTATTGAACACGCGTGACATGACATTGAACTCGTGACAGGGTTGTTGCGCAACCCTGAACTCTTCCTGAAGCTCATAAATGTCAGATTTAGTAAAAGGGAGTGACGGTGATGTTACGCTGTGCCTCTTGAACGCCATTTATTCTGTTCTCTCTCTCTCTCTCTCTCTCTCTCTCTCTCTCTCTCTCTCTCTCTCTCTCTCTCTCTCTCTCTCTCTCTCTCTCTCTCTCTCTCTCTCTCTCTCTCTCTCTCTCTCTCTCTCTCTCTCTCTCTCTCTCTCTCTCTCTCTCTCTCTCTCTCTCTCTCTCTCTCTCTCTCTCTCTCTCTCTCTCTCTCTCTCTCTCTCTCTCTCTCTCTCTCTCTCTCTCTCTCTTAAATAGGGAGATGTATACCTTAAACC